TAATCCCTTTCCAGATACATGATTGGAAAACATTTTCTCCCATTCAGTAGGTTGCCTTTTCATTTTGTGGATGGTTTCCTTTGCTGGGCACAAGCTGTTTAGTTTGATTTTGTCCCACTTGTTTATTTTTGCTTTTGTTGCCTTTGCTTTTGGTACCAACACACTTAGTTTCATTATGTGTTAACTGTCTCCAACTTCTGATATCCCTCTGAGGGATGTTTGTGTAAGTTGGTAGCAGCCAGATCATTGTAGTATTCTTTTTGTTTAACATTGATTGATTGATTGATTGATTGATTTGAGAGAGAGAGAGAGAGAAAGAGAAGAGAGCATGAACTGGAGGGGCAGAGGGAGAGGGAGAAAGAATCTCAAGACAAAGCCCAACACAGGACTCAATCTCATGACCCTGAGATTTACTGTTCTTGTACATATCTCCTTCACCCTGACAAACACACATCCTTCTCAGTCACTGTACCAACAACTGTTCTCCCAATTTATTATTGGTGAAAATTGTATCAATGGGCTGCCACCCTGTACAAGGCATCCACATACTACCCAACTGGGCAGTGAGTGATCTAGTTACAAATCCCCATCTTGCCATGTACTTCCTCAGACCATTCCTGCTACCAACTGTTAATTTGTGTTCTCCAGCAAACAGGCTATAAGATGGCAGAGTGCAAGAGATTTACTGGGGACTCATGCCTATAAAAGATGGGAGGATGAGGGTGGGCAGTGAAATTGGGCTGAGGAAGCCCACAGACTACAGCACTGATCTGAAGCCTGTGATGGGAAGTGGGAAGAAACAGAAATGGGCAGGAATAACCTAACTCTAATGCAAATCTGAAAAAGTTTTGGCCAACCCAAGGGAAGGGGATGGAGGAACTCTGGAGTGAAGACTGTCCTAGAGGAGTCCTAGGTTGGTGGATATGGTCCACCTAGAGCCCCTCCCATGCTGGATCATTGACCAGGAACTACCCAGAAAGAAAGTGAACCCAGCTCAAGGCCCTGCCCTGAAGGTTGGCAGCTAGCTGCACTCCTCACAGCTACATGCAAATCCTTTCTTGAAAGGAGATCAGGATGAAGCTCTTCCATGGCTGCTACAGAATAGTGTGACTCAGTATCTCAGCATCCTTCAGGTGATCAACGAGGATTTTATTTTATTTTTTTTTTAATTTTTATTTCTTTATGATAGTCAGAGAGAGAGAGAGAGAGAGAGAGAGAGGCAGAGACACAAGGCAGAGGGAGAAGCAGGCTCCATGCACCGGGAGCCCGATGTGGGACTCGATCCCAGGTCTCCAGGATCGTGCCCTGGGCCAAAGGCAGGCGCCAAACCGTTGCGCCACCCAGGGATCCCGAGGATTTTATTTTTTAAATGAACTCATGGATGTTAACATATTTGCTGTGCTCCAATCCACTGTATTTACTTTTCTTTTTGATACTCAAATTGTCCTTACCTTGGCCAATGGGAGCGCCTCCACATTGGCTAGCAAGCCCTCTGACACAGAGCTAGACTCATTGATAATTTCCTTGCTTCCTGTTGATAAGAAGCTCCAGGATCATCTTGTGTGTTTTCTGCCTTAGATCTGAAATCATTTTTCTAAGAAGCTGTGGTTTCTTTGAGTGGGAATGGCATGCAGGAAAAGAAGCTGGGTGCTAAAAGTGCTCACTGCTACTGAATTAGTGATTGTTTTTAGACCAATGCAACCCAAGAGAAACACTTTTTATATCTATGCTGTCTAATATGGCAGCTACTAGCCATACAGGGCTACTGAACACTTGAAATGTGGCCACTGCAACCAAGGAATGGAATTTTATTTTATTTATTTTTTAATTACTTTTACTTATTTAAAGTAGGTTCCATGCCCAATGTGGGGCTTGAACTCACAACCCTAAGATCAAGAGTTGCCTGCTCCACTGCCAGAACCAGCCAGATTCTCCAAAGAATGGAATTTTAACTTTTATTTAATTGTAATATTTTTATTGTGGTAAAATATACATGTCATAAATTTTATCACTTTAATCATTTTTTAAAAGGTTGAATTGTTTATTTGAGAGAGAGAAAAAAGGTGAGAGCACAAGCTGGGAGGAGGGGCAGAGGGAGAAGTAGACTCCCCATAGAGCAGGGAGCCCAATGTAGGACTCAATTGCAGGACCCTGGGATCATGACCTGAGCTGAAGGCAGATGCTTAACTGACTAAACCACCCAGGTGCCTCTCATTTCAACCATTAGTTCAGCAACGATTCATACATTCAAATTGTTTGCAACCATCACCACCACCCATCTCCAAAATCATTCCATTTTCCCAAACTGAAACTGCCCCATTAAACACTAACTCCTCATTTTACACCCACCCAAGCTCCTAGCAACCACCATTCCACTGTCTCTATTAATTTGAAGACACAAAAAAATTTAAAAAATAAAAATAAAAAAAATTAATTTGATTACACTATGTACCTCACACAAGTCAAATCAAACAATATTTGTTCTTTTGTGTCTGGCTTATTTCACTTGGCACAACATTTTCAAAGTTCACACACACTGCAGTATGTGTCAACATTCCTTTCTAAGGCTGGATAATATTCTATTGTATGTATTGTATGTATATATCACATTTTGTTTATTCATTCTTCCATTGATGGACATTTGGGTAGTTTCCACCTTTTGGCTATTATGAATAATGCTGCTGTGAATATTAATGTACAAATATCTGTTCAAGTATTTAATTTTAATTAATTTTAAATTTAAAGAGCACTGTCTACCATGTCGGACAGTTCTAGACCTTTTCAGTAGACAGAGGTAAAAAATAAATTTTTTATTATTTATTTATTTACTTATTTTAGAGAGAGCAAGCAGGGGCAGAGGGGCAGAGGGAGATGAAGATACACAATCCTAAGCAGGCTCCATGCTCAGCATGGAGCTGGACCAGGGCTCAATCTCACAACCCTGAGATCATGACCTGAGCTGAAATCAAGAGTACAAGCCTTTACTGACTGAGCCACCCAGGTGCCCCAGAAATACATTTTTTAATTATATTAATTCATGCTAATTCTTTACATTTAAACCCAAGATTAAAGATCTTTAACTTAGCCCAGGTGGCTCAGAGGTTTAGCGCCGTCTTTGGCCCAAGGTGTGATCCTGGGGACCTTGGATCAAGTCCCATGTCGGGCTCCCTGCATGGTGCCTGCTTCTCCCTCTGCCTGTGTCTCTGCCTCTCGGTGTCTCTCATGAATAAATAAATAAAATATTTTTTTAAAGTTTTTAACTTATTTTACAGTTCTATCTCTTCTCTCGAGCTGAAAATGTTGGTTCCTATTATTACCATACTAATTATTTACTATATCTCACTTATGCAATTCCAGAACAGCAATAGCAATATTTAGGAAGACCAGGACTACTGCAAACAACCTGAGATTTCTTTGCTGCTCCTTTTGCCCTTACTAGTTAAGTACAATCAAATTGTTAGGTTTTAAAGTCACTTGAATTCTTTTCTGTAATGTTAAGCTACCAACTTGACATGCATTAGGTTTATTTGTTTCGTTTTGTTTTCCATTTGTAGGAATTGATTTATTTTTTCGTTGTAATTACACAAATCCATAGCCAAAGGGACAAGCACATTTAGAGAAATCTAGTTTCTACCTACAAGTCATCCTCCTGATCCAAGCTGGTAACTACTTTTTTTTTTAAATTTTTTTTTTATTATTTATTTATGATAGTCAGAGAGAGAGAGAGAGAGGCAGAGACACAGGCAGAGGGAGAAGCAGGCTCCATGCACCGGGAGCCTGATGTGGGATTCGATCCCAGGTCTCCAGGATCGCGCCCTGGGCCAAAGGCAGGCGCTAAACCGCTGCGCCACCCAGGGATCCCATGGTAACTACTTTTATGTTACTTTTTAAGGTAGGAAAATAGGCATGTATGTTCTTAACTGCCTCTGCCCCTTCTTAGTAAAATTCTACACACACTGTCCTACAACTTTTTTTTTTTTTTTTTGTCTCAACCATACGCTTTGAAGATCAGCCCGCAGCAGAACATAGGAACCGTCCTTGCACCTGTGACAGCTGCTCCGCTGTGCGGCTCCTCCTGCGGGACACTGGGCTGTGTCCAGTCCTCCGCTATCTTCCCTTCTGTCGTGGAAAGGGCACTGATGATTATGGAAAGGCCCAGAGAGGCAAAGCTGTCAAGACGGCAGCCTAGCTGTGTGCGTGGGGTGAGGGAAAAGAAGTATAATTTCTGTTGGAGAAGCTATCGCGGGCTGATATGGTGCCCTCAAGTCCAGCATCCCGAGCAGGGAGGGGGCCGGGACGCTGGGCGCGGGCGATGAGGGCGGAGGTGCGCGCTCCGCCACCCGCTCACCTGCACGGTTCCCACCTTCGCTGCGCTTTTTGCGAGGCTTCGTGGCTCTGCTGGACGGTCTCCCCGCTGTGGCACCAGGAGCCCCGGGGCGAAGCTAGCACGTGGCCCGCAGGGCGCGCCACCTGCCAGTCAGGTGCAGGCGCGGCGCTCCCAAGGGCAGGGTGTGCCCCCGCCGCCCCGGGGCTGGTGGGAGGGCCTTCGTCACACCCTCCGCCGCCAGGGGGGTCGCCTAATGAGGGACTGGGCCCCGGCAGCCGAGTGACGGCGACGGCAGGCCGGGGTGGGGAGGAAGGGGCGCTCAGTGGCGCTCCCGCGCGGCGGGCCGCGTGTGCCAGCGCTCTGCCCCACAGGCAGCAGCGGGGAAGCCCGGTTTCAGGGGGCACACCGCCTTCTTGCGGCCGACCGCCCGTCTGAACTGGAGCCTGTTTGGGCCACACCCTGAGCGGCCGCCACGCGCGCGGTCGGGTCCACCGAGGCACCCGCTCCACGCGGGACCTCTCCGGCCCGGGCCCGGCCGCACTGCGCCTGCGCCGGGCCGCGCGGACCGAACCACCGCCCGGGCAGGGGTGCGTGCGGCGCGGAGCTCCCCCGCCCCCTGGGGCGGCCCGTTGCCATGGAGTCGCCCGCCGCCAACGCCGCCGCCGCAGCCGCGGCAGCCGCCCGCGCTGCAGAGGAGCCCCCAGAGGAGCTGCCCCGAACCTCGGCGGGCCGCGGAGAGGTGGGTGCGTCGGTCCGGAGCCCCCGGCCTGGGTCGGCGCCCTCCGCCCAGGTTCTGACAGGCGGGCACTTGCTGCGGTGGGTCTCGCCCCCGGGGTCTTGGGGCTCTGCCCTGACGCGGCCGCCCCCCGGGGTCGTGCGCCCGGCTTTGCGGGGCTGTAGGGTGCGGTCGCGGATCTTCCGTGCCCGGCACTGAGCAGAGCTGGGGGGAGCCTGGCTGGTGGGCCCCTGGGAGGAAGGGCGCCTCCTCCCGGAGCTCCCGGAGTGCTCCCTCTGCCGCCGCCCCCCCCCCCCCCGAGCTCCTGGAGTGCTCCCGAGGTTCTCCCCGAGCTCCCGGAATGGTCCTGCGATCCTCTCCGGGGTCCCGGAGTGCTTCCTCGGTCCTCCCGGTGTCCTTCTCGAGTCCTTACCCCCCTGGAGTTTTCTAAGTAGGCTCCGCGCCCAGCGGGGCTTGAACTCAGGACCCTGACATTGAGACCGTAGCGGAGATCAAAAGCCCGCCATTTCACCAACTGAGCCACACAGACGCCCCCACTAGGTGTTTGAAAGGATAACCGGGTTTGGGCAGCGGAGGGGCGGGTGCTGTTTCCCACCAGCTGCTGTCTAGGCGCCTTTGCTGAACATCTGCCCTGCGCCAGGTGCCGCGCCAGGTGCTGCGCCGAGTCCGAGCAGACTGCGCTGGTCCCCCAAGGCGCCAAGGGTTCCTTCACAGGTACCTTCTGTAGGTAGACGCGCGCACATCCACGCACACAGCGCACAGATTGCTTTTAAAGTGAACATCAGTAACAACTGCTCAGGTCAAGAAATAAAACCGTGTGAGCACCGCAAAAGTCAAGCCACCCCTCTGCTGCCGCCTGCAGACCTCACTCACCCCCAAGACATGGAGACTGGCTTTTGTGGTTCTAATTTGCTTGATTTTCCATAGGTGTACCACCTATGTACGCTTTCCTAAGCAACATAATTAAGTTTCACCGGTTTTTAAACTTCATATAAATGAAATAATATTGTATATATTCTTTTTTTTAATTTTTGAAACAACCCCACGTTTACAGAAAATTGCAAGTTCAGCACCAAAAATCTTTTCCTGAAGCATTTGAGCGTAAGTCGCTTCCATGATGCTTTCTGACCACACCACACTGTAGAGGGTGTCTCCTATGTGCAAGGACGTTCTCCCAGGTGACCCCAGCGTGACAATCAAAGTCAGGACAGTCACAGGTGTCAGCACCACGGGTCCTCAGCCCCAGGGAAGCGTTTTGACCATCGATCCCATAAAGTCACAAAAGCAAAAGGACCCAGTGTGGGACGGCACTTTGTTGTTGTCGTGTTTGTTAGTTCCCAGTCCACTGCAGTCCCCACTTTTCCCTGGCTTTCATGACTTGGCTGTGGGCGGGCTTGTAGAAAGTTCTTCCTGTGGGCTTGTCACATGTTTCAAGATTAGATTTGCATTATGCATCCTTGGCAGGAAAGTCATAGAATTTATGCACAACTTTCTGCTTATTCTACCCAGTCCGGTGGCTCACAGTGACACATTTGTCACATTACCGATGAAATTTACCCCTATCACTCAATTAAAATGGTGTTACTTTGTACCTTGGTAATTTACACAGGGAGACATTTTGAAACTCTGGCCGTGTCATCCCTCCCATGCGTGAGCTGAGTGGCCCACAGGGGACAGCTCCCCCACCCTGTTTGGGCTTCAATGCCCTCCAGGGTAGCCTTCCTCCTACTCAGGCCCTGACATCCTGCTCTGGGCTGCGACTCCCCCACACTGGCATCCCAGTCTGGGCCACTGTGTATCCTGCTTGGCCCACCCCATCTGGGGTACCTCCTCTGAAAGTGGAGGAAAGAGGAAAGGCAGTATATGTGCTTTTGCACCTTCCCTGTCAGCTGTGCTGAAGAGGTGCGCCCACAGTATGACACAGCTGTGGACCATTCTTCGTTTCCCTAGAGCACTATACGGGAGGAATCCTGCTATTGGTGTTGCTTGGCTATTAGTCTTCGGACTTCCTGCTGTTACCAGCACTGCAGCTCTGGGAGGTCCTCTTATGTCTCCTGGTGTTGAGTGTGTTATAAGTTGAATTGTGTTCCTTCAGGGGGACAACATCATAGGTGGAAGCCCTAAGCCCTAGTATTTCAGAATGTGACCTCATTTGGAAATAGGGTCCTGGGAGATGTCATTAGTTAAGATGAGGTCATACTGGAGTCCCGAATATGACGGGTGTCCTTATAAAAATGAGATATTTGAATGTAGATTTCCCACAGAGAGAACGTCAGGTGAATGCTGGGAGTTAGCCTGCCACAAGCCAGGGATCTATTAGAACCTAAGGGAGATGCGTGCAACAGATGCTCTCCTAGCACATCAGAGGGAACATCGTCCTGCCAGGACATTTATTTCAGATTCCTGGCCTCCAGAAGTATGAGAGTATACATTTCTGTTGCTGAGACACCCTGTGTTTTGCACTTTGCAATGGCCACCCCACAACACTAATGCAATATGTAAGAGTGTCTGTAGGGTGCACACCTACGAGTGGAATCGCTGAGGCAGAGAGTATAGGAGGCCAAATAACATCCTCCAGAGATGTCCATGACCTAATCCTTTGAATTTGGGGATATGTTAGAGATGTGGCAGGGGAATTAAGGTCGTTGACCAGGGTTTTAGAGATAGGGACATTATCCTGAATCATCCAGGTGTGCCCAGTACAGCCACAGGGTCCTCAGAAGTGAACAGGGAGGCAGGAGAGCTATTGAGGGAGCCCCGGGAGAAAGGGCCTACATCACACTGCTGACTTTGAATATGGTAGAACAGGGCCTTGAGCCATGGAGTGTGAGTGACCTCGGGAAACTGGAATATTCCCAAGAGCCTCCAGAAAGGAATGCAACCCTGCCCACACCTTGATTTTAACTCAGTGAGACTCATTTCAGAATATGACCATCACAATAATAAGGTAGTAAGTCTGTTAAGTCACTGGGTTTGCAGTAACTTATTAGGGCAGCAATGGCAAAGTAATCCAAAGGTATATGCTTTTTACCTTTACTTTTTAAAAAAAAAATTTATTTATTTATTTGAGAGAGTGAGAGCAAGAGAGAGAGCACGAGAGAGGGGGAGGAACAGACAGAGAGGGAGAAGCAGAGCCCCTGCTAAGCAGAGAGCCAGACGCCGGACTTGATCCCAGGACCCCAGGATCATGACCTGAGCGGAAGGCAGACGACTGACTGAGCCACCCTGGCGCCCCTTGACTTTGCCAGATGATGCCAAATTCTTTGTGAAGTAACCATCCCAGTTTTCACTCCCACCATTTGTGTGCGAACATTCCCACTGCTTCACTCACGCACCTGGTATTGTCAGGGTTGTGACATCTTACCATGTGTGATGACCATGTCATGATGGTAGATTGTGGTTTTAATTTGCATTTCCCTAATTACAAATGAGGTTGGGAAATTTTGTTGCTGTTTGTGACCAACAAAAAATTTATCATCCAAAGCACTAAAGAGTTAGAGGGAGGGATCCCTGGGTGGCGCAGCGGTTTGGCGCCTGCCTTTGGCCCAGGGCGCGATCCTGGAGACCCGGGATCGAATCCCACGTCGGGCTCCCGGTGCATGGAGCCTGCTTCTCCCTCTGCCTATGTCTCTGCCTCTCTCTCTCATTCTGTGTGACTATCATAAATAAATAAAAATTTAAAAAAAAAAAAAAAAAAAAAAGAGTTAGAGGGAGCACTTCTAACGATGCTGGGCAAACCCATGTGACGGGCACGCTGATGCTCTGCATGTGTGGCCATGTCATTGTTCCTTAGTGCAAAGTGCCTGTTGCCTCCAGGCTGCCTACCTCCTTTACTGACTCGTGGGTAGTCCTTATGTGGTTGTAGACCTTCAGGGTAACGGGTCAAATTTACCGTCAGGTTTGTAACTTTTCTTAAGTCTCGCTAGGGCGTCATCTGAACAAACGTTTTTAATTTAGATGTATGTGACCACCAGCCAGCTTTTCCTCTCGTGGCTAATGTTTTAGGAGTCCCCTGTAAGAAACCCAAGGCCATGAACCTCCTCCCGATCACTGTGACAGGTCTTCTTCCATGTGTGTCTCTAACCCACATGGAACCAGTCACGGCACGAAGGCCATGCCTGAGGTGTCGATCTTGCACTCGTGCTCGGGCACACACACGCCTGTTGGATTTGGGTACAGGTCTTAGTGAATCTGCAGAGCCATTTGGAGAGAACTGGCACCTCGACAACACTGAGTCTCCAGTACTTGAGCATTTTTTTATTTATACTGGCTTTATTCTTTCGTTGCACTTTTACTGTGGAAAATTACAAACTCAGAAAGTAGAGAAGGTGGTACCATCACTTTCCAAGCTTGCCAGCTATGTGGCTCCAGGCCCATCCCTGCTCCTCACTGGCAGGTTATGGTTGATGTAGTTTAATGAAAACCCCAGATGTAATGTTTTTACCTGTCACTATAGCTCTAACAAGTAGACTCACTTCCAGCATAACTACGAAGTCATCATCCACCCCAAAAAAATTAACATGAATTTCTTAATGAAATCTAATACTAATCTGTGTTTACTTTCCCACATCATCTCAAAAATGTCTTCGACAGCTGCTTTCTTGAATCAGGATCCAAACAGGACCCACCGTACTGCAGGTGGTTGACTTGTCTCTTAAGACCCTTTTAACTTAAAATGGTCTCCCCTTCCCTCTTTTCCACCATGACATCCGTATGTTGAAGTTTCTGGATCATTTGTTCTATTTATTATTTAGGCCTTGAATGTCCCCCAGGGAGTCTCCAACATTTTCTCTGTAGAGGTTCTGCACTTTCGTCATATTGGTTCTTAGGTACTTCATATTTATTGATGTAACTATAAGGAAATGGCATCTTTTCCAAATCTCATTTTCCCATATGTTCTGATAAATGGGAATGTATTTGGTTTTTATGATTGAATTTATATCTAGTGACATTACTAAACTGTCTCAATGACTTTGATAATGGATATCAGTGTGCCCACTTAGATTCTGTACATTCATAGGCGTGTAGTCTGAAAGTGTTTCCAGTTGGGAGTGCCTTTTGTTCCTGTGGGTTCTGGCTGGGAGTCCCTGGCCCTGCAGTTAGGAGGACGGATGGTGTTTCCTGCATGTGTTTGGAGACATCCAGCCTTTCCCACATTAGAGAAATCCATGTTGGTGTAAGATTGTCAAGTCTTTTTAAAAAGTGCAAGTGGAGGGTCACCTGGGTGGCTCAATTTGGGCGTCTGCCTTTGGCTCAGGTCATGATCTCAGGGTCCCAGGATTGAGTCCTGCATCGGGCTCCCCTCAGGGACCCTGATTCTCCCTCTGCCTATGTCTCTGCCTTGAAAAAATAAATAAAATATTTTATTTATTTATTTTTATATATTTTATTTATTTGTTCATGAGAGACACAGAGAGAGAGAGAGAGAGGTAGAGACACAGGCAGAGGGAGAAGTAGGCTCCATGCAGGGAGCCCGATGCAGGACTCGATCCGGGGTCTCCATGATCAGGCCCTGGGCCAAGGTGGCGCTAAACTGCTGAGCTACCCGGGCTGCCCTAAAATCTTTTAAAAAAAATACAAAACTTCTGGTTTTCAGACCCTCTCTCTCACATTTGTTTTTGTTGCTGGAATTTCTGATCTTTTTAGTTTTCTTCCTTCTACTTCCTTTGGGTTTATCTTGCAGTTCTTTATGAAACTGCTTGAACCACGTGTTTAGCGCATGAGCTTTTAGCCTTTTCCCAACAGGCGCGGTTAGGGTCACCAATCCACTGGGCTCTAGATGCCCCACAGGGCAACAGGCACTATCATTATACTCAGTTGAAATATTGTATCTTATCTGGGATGATGTTTTCTTCAGCCCAGGAGTTCTTTAGAAGGATGTTTCTTAGAGGCACCCGGTTGGCTCACTCCGATAAGCCTCCGACTCTTAATTTCAGCTCAGGTCATGATCTCCAGGTCTTGAGACAGAGGTAGGGCAAGGCTCTTCGCTCCACTCTGCAGGGACACTCCTTGAGATTCCCTGCCCCCACCCCCTCCCCCTGCACAAGGGGGTGCTCTCTCTCTCTCTCTCTCTCTTTTCTCTCTCAAATAAATAAATCTGGGATGCCCAGGTGGCTCAGTTGGTGAAGCATCTGCCTTTGGCTCAGGTCATGATCCTGGGGTCCTGGGATCAGGTCCCATGTCCCTCTCTACCTTCTGCCCATCCCCCTGTTTGTGCTCTCACTTTCTGTCAAATAATAAATAAGAATCTTTTTTAAAAAAAAAAAAAAGAAAGTATGTTTCTTAGTTTCCAAAAGTAGTTCTCTATTTGTTACTGATTTGGGCTGATGACTTGGTCAGAGAACAAGATTTTTATGATTGTTTTGTTGAGGAATAACTGATTTATGGTATTGTGTTCATTTCAGGTGGACACTGCAGTGATCTGATATTTATCGACATTATGAAATCGTTACCATAAGTCCCATCACCATCTGTCACTGTATACAGTCATCACGACATAATTGACTATATTCCCTACTCTGTATGAAGCTTTGTACCATTTCAGTCCTTGAAACTTATGGAGATCTGCTTTGGACCTGGTGATGGCATTTATAAATGTTCTGTGTATGCTTCTAGGGAGCACCTAAGATTCTGTAGTTGTCACGTTTTGGATACTTCTGCCAGGTTCAGTGTGTTGATGATGTCATCGAAATGTATGTCATTAATGACTTATTTTATCTGGGTTTGTTACCAGTTCCTAGGAGAGGTGTGTTAAAATTTCCCAGTAGCGTTTGTATTTTGACTTTTTCCCTTGTTCTGTCAATCTTTGCTCTGTTTACTTTGTGACTAAGTTAGTAGATGCACGTGCATTTAAAATTGTTGCATCCTCCTGGTGAGCCGAACATCTGGTCATGATGTTCTTTATCGCTGTTACTGCTTTTTGCTCAGAGTATCTCATGTGTTTCTAGATAAAACTCCACCAGCTTCCTATTTACGGTTTCTATCTAGAGCATCTTTTTCTGACTTTTAAAATGCGGTGCTTCCACAGGCTTGTGTTTCAGATTTCAGTTGTGGACAGTTAGATTTCTTGGTGGTTGTTATTGGTCTTTTCAACCAATTTTTAAAAAAAAAAACACTTTTTTTTTTTTTTACCTTGGGCATTTTAACTATTTATATTATTGCCTTTACTTAAATTTTGACCTGATGATTTCTGATTTTCTAGTCAATTCTTTGAGGTTCTTGAGGCAATTAAAATACAGTTTTACTCTGAATTTCTGCCTATTTTTAGTGTGATGGCTGGCACACTGGACAGCCACATTGCCAAAACCAGAAATGGAAGTTCCAGCTGCTTCTTAAGCATGTTTTAGCAAATCTCTGTTTCTGATTCTACTTCACCCTCGCTTCATAGACACCCAGTTCTGGGGCCTTCTGCCAGCTTGTGCTACATACTCAGGGTTTCATGGTACAAGTTTCTCCCCTCAACGGTCAGTCGGTCAGTCAGCGCCTCCACCTGCTGGGCGATATCATCCTCACACTTCCCAGCTCTGTTTTGTTCAAACTAATTCTTCTCCTTTTCGCCTTGAACTTGTAGATTCATGTGTTAGAGCTCTGAATCTTCCTGCTGTTGTTTTAGGGAGAACTTAAGAGGGAGCAGAGGCCACCTGCTGGAACTACCATTTTTAACTGGATATTCAAAGTGCATGTGGTTTAGGGCACCTGGCTGGCTCAATCACTGGAGCAACAACTCTTTTTTCTTTCTTTTTTCTTTTTCTTTAGGGGATGGAGTAGTGAGGGGTAGAGGGGGAAAGAGAATCTTAAGGTGACTCCATGCCCAGGGCAGAGCCAGACATGGGGCTTCATCTCACAATTCTGAGATCATGACCTGAGCCATAATCAAGAATCCAAGGCTTAACTAACTGCACCACCTAGGCGCCCTGTGACTCTTAATCTCCGGATAGTGAGTTTAAGCCCCATATTGGGTGTAAAAATTACTTAAAAATAAAATCTTTTAAAAAAGTATATGTGGTTTAATGTTATCATTTTAAATGAAACTGTATATGTGCAATGTTCCACCTCTTATCAGACTGTCATTCATGGGGGGGGGGGGTCAATTAACATTATCATGAACACATGGAGTTCTTGGGCATGAAGCAGAACAGATTCGACCACTTTGTGGATAGCTTCTAAAAGCTCTGCCATTCACTGACCAGTAGGTTAATAGACTTTTTTCAAGTGAGAGGAATATTGTTGGCATTTTATAAGATGCCTTAAAATTCTGCCTCTCAAAATTGTAACCCATGATTGTTTCTTTATAGCATTTTACAAAATGAATTACTAGCATTGGCTTATTAATGATTTATGCAGGAAACATTGTTAGGCTTTGAAAATATTTTTCAGCGAATTATTCTGAAGCAATTGCTAAATTAAGCAATGAAAAACAAATTCATCTACAATTTTAGTATCTCCTGCATAATAACAACATTCCGTACCAAGTTCTATACAGACAAGCTCCTAACATTCCCCAAATGATAACCAAAGTGCGATGAATATTCTGAAATTCCTTAAGAATTGCTTTTGAACTGTACTGTAACATGTATAACATGCTGTATCACACACATATCTTAAATGTTCTCTTGGATGAGTTTTTATAATGATGTACACCTGTGTAACCCCTGCTCCAGACAAGATCTAGAACATCCCCTATCCACCATGTTCTTCATGCCCCACTCCATTCCCTGCCTTTAACCCAGAAACCACTATTACTAGCAATTTGTTTTGCCTGCATTTGGGTTTCTTAGTTGTCTTTTGTATTATGGCTTTCTTTACCTGACATAATGTTTCTGAGATCCATCCACATGTTTTCATGAATCAGTTTTTCGTTCATCTTGTCACTGAGCAGTGTTCCATCTCCCAGAGATGGACACTTGGGTTGTTTCCAGTTGGGGGCTATATGAGTAAGGTTGCCAAAAGCATTCGTGTACAATATTCTTTTAAGGACATATTTCTGTTTCTCTTGGGCACATATCTTGAGTAGGATTTCTGTGTCACACAGTAAGTCTATGTCAACATTTAGTGTTATGACTTAGTATTTATATTTTTTATTTTAGGCATTCTAATAGGTGTACAGCACTGTCTCATTCTGGCTTTACTTCACATTTCCCCAGTGACCAGTGCTGCTGCACACAGTTTCACAAGCTTATGGACCATTTGTGTATCTTCCCTTACCATGTCTGTCCTAAAATTTCTGTACCTTTTTTTACAAAGGTTTTATTTATTTATTCATGAGACACACACACATAGAGAGACAGAGAGAGAGAGAGAGAAGAGAGACACAGGCAGAGGAAGAAGCAGGCTCCATGCAGGGAGCCTGATGTGGGATTTGATCCTGGGACTCCAGGATCACACCCTGGGCCAAAGGCAGGCACTAAACCACTGAGCCACCCAGAAATCGCCTCTGTACTTTTTTAGTTGGAGTTGGACTTTATATTGTTGATATTTAGGGGCTCATTATATATTCTGGATATAAGACTGTTGTCAGATTTATGTGCTACAAATACTTTTTCCTAGGGGCACCTGGATGGTTCAGTGGCTGAGCGTCTGCCTTTGACTCAGGTTGTGATCTGGGGTCCAGGGATCCAGTCCCACATTAGGCTCCCTACAGGGAGCCTGCATCTCCCTCTCCTTCTGTGTCTCTCATGAATAAATAAATAAAGTCTTTTTAAAAAATATTTTTTCCTGGGTTGTGGCTTATCCATTTTCTTAATGTCTTTTATAAGAGAAATTAATAATTCTTATGAAATCCAAGATTTATTTTTTAAACTATGATCTTATTCATGCATGTCTGTAATAATTTTTTTTGTAGCTAATTTCTGCTTCCCAAGATGGAAGAAGATGCTAGCCTATTCCCTAAGAAGGAGCTTTTGGACAATGTCCCACTTTTGGAAGATGGTAATAAAAGTCTTTTCACAAATAACAGGTGTTTAGCAAAAATGAAGATAAATGATGTGCTTCATAGTTTCCTTTAATTATTTTTCATAAGAAAGACTACATCTTTTAAGCTTATTTTTTTCTCAAAGAAGGAGCTTATTTTTTTCTGTCTTTAGATGAAAGAAAGATAAATTATGTCTGAGAATCTTGAAAGTGGCAGAACATAGTTTTCTATTTTCTAACATCTCTATTGAGAAATATGATGCCATTTTTATCCCAACCCTTTGAATATGACCTATTTTTGTTTTCTTTGCCTGAAAGCTGTTAGATTAAAAAAAATCACTGATAATCTCAAATATTTTCTAAGATGTGCTTTGATGTAGGCTGATGCTGGGCACCAGGCAGGACAATCCAACTTGGACTAATATCCTTGGTCCTCCATCTACCCCCAGCATGGCTTCTTTCTCAGTTCTGAAGTAGGTATAGTGAGGCATGGTGATGTGAGGTGAAGTCGTGTAAGGTATTGTGAGATGAGGCAAGATGAGATCATATGAAGTATGGTAAGGGTTAGGTGATCAAGTGAGATGGGCTGAAGTGTGGTGTGGTGAGGTGAGGTATGGTGAGGTGTAATGAGATGAGGTAAGTGAAGTGTGGTGAGGTGTGGTGAGATGAGTTATGACATGGTGAGGTATGGTGTGGTAAGGTGAGATGTGGTGAGGTGAAGTGAGCTGATGTGAGGTGTGGTAAAGTAAGGTGTGATGCAGAGGTCTGGTGTGAGGTGTGGTGAGGTTAGTGAGGTGATGTGAGATGATGAGGTGTGGTATTGCGTGATATGGTGATGTGAGCTGAGGTAAGGTATGGTGTGATGAGGTGAAGCAAAGTTTAATGAGGTGTGATGAGGTGAAGTAAGATGTGGTAAGGTGAGGTGAGATATGGTGACATGACATGAGGTCAGATGTGGTGGTGAGGTCAGGTATGGTGAGGTGAAGTATGGTGTGTTGAGGTGAGGTGAAGTGTGGTATGTGGTTTATAGTGGTGTAAGGTGGTGAGGTGAGGTGTGGTGAGGTGTAGTGTGATGTGGTAAGGTGAGGTAAGGTAAGGTTGGTGAGGTGAGGTGTGGTGTGGTGGTGAAGTGAAATTTGGTGAAGTGAGATATGGTGAGGTGAGGTGAGGTGAGGTGTGGTGAGATAAGGTGAAGTGAGTGAGTGAGATGTACTCACCATACACAATATACTTCACCATACACAAAGATGTATGGTGAAGTGTGGTGTGGTGAGAGTTATGTTTATATGGTATGGTGGTGTTGTGAACTGTGGTGAGGTGAAGTGAGATGCAATGGGGTGAGGTAAGATATGGGTGAAGTATATTGAGGTGGGGTGAGATATCATGTGGTGTGTTGAGGTGAGGTATGGTCTGATGTGGTGTGGTGAGGTGAGGTGAAGTGTGGTGATGTGAGGTTTAGTGAGGTGAGATGTGGAGTGTGGTATGGTGAGGTGAGGTGTGATATGCTGTGATTTGTGGTATTGTACGGTTTGGTGAGATAAGCTGTGGTGAGGTGAGGTATGGTGAGGTGTCTTGAGTTGAGGTGAGGTATGGTAAGGTGAGGTGTGGTGTGGTGAGGTGAGATGTGGTGAGGTGTCTTGAGGTAAGGTGAGGTATGATGCGGTGAGATATGGTGTGGTGAGATGGATGAGGTATGGTGAGGTGTGGTGAGATGTGGTGAAGTGAGATAAGGGTAGGTGAGGTGTGGTGACATGACACGTGGTGAGGTGGGATGAGGTGAGGTGAAGTATGGAGTGGCATGGTATGGCAATGTGAGGTAAGATGAGATGTGATGTGGTGTGGTTTGTGGTATTGTGAGATCTGGTCAGCTGAAGTGTGGTGAGGTGAGATGAAATGAGGTAAAGTGTGGGTAAGATGAGGTGAATTGTGGTGTGGTGAGGTCAGGTAAGGTGTGAGGACATGAGGTGTGGTAGTGATGTGGTATGGTGATTGAGGTGAGGTAAGGTATGGTGTGATGAGGTGAAGTGATATGATGTGGTATGGTTTGGTTTGTGGTGTGATAAGGTTTAGTAAGTGAGGTAAGGAGTAGTGAGGTGACGTGAGTTGTGATGTGGTGAGGTGAGGTAAAATGTGGTGATTGAGGGGAGGTATGGTAAAATGAAGTGAGATTAGGTGAAGTGAGGTGAGGTGAAGTTACGTGAGGTGGAGTTAGGTAAGGTGAAGTGTGGTATGGTGAAGTGTAGTGTGGTGAAGTGAGGTGTGGTGCAATGAGATGAGATGTAGTGGGGTGAGGAGAGATGTAGTGTGGTGAGGTATGATGAGGTATGTTGAGGTGAGGTGTCATGTGGTGTGTTGAGGTGAGGTATGATGAGGTGAGGTGAGGTGTGGTGAAGTGAGGTTTTGTAGGGTGAGACGTGGAATGTGGTATGATGAGGTGAGGTGTGGTGTGGTATGGTATGGTTTGTGGGTTGTGAGGTGTGGTGAGATGAGGGATGGTGAGGTGAGGTGTTTGAGGTGAGGTATCATGTGGTATCTTGAGGTGAGGTAAGGTATGATGAGGTGAGGTGTGATGTATAGTGGGATAAGATAGGTGAGCTATGGTGAAGTGAGGTTAAATGAGAGGAGGTAAGGTGTGGTGAGGTGAGGTATGATGTGAAGTGAGGTGAGATGTGGTAAGGTGAGGTAAGATGAAGTATGGAGTGATGTGGTATGTTGATGTGACATGAGGAGAGATGTGGTGAGATGAGGTGTGGTGTGGAGTGGCATGGTACGGTGACGTAAGTTGAGATGAGACATGGTGTGGTGTGGCTTGTGGTGTTGTGAAATTTGGTCATGTAAGGTATGGTGAGGTGAGATGAGATGAGGTAAAGTGTGGTGAGATGAGGTAAGTTGTGGTATGGTGAGGTGAGGTGAGGTAAGGTGTGGTGATGTGAGGTTTGGTGAGGTGAGGTGAGGTATGGAGTGATGTGGTATGGTGATTGAGGTGAGAATAGGCATGGTGTAGTGTAATGTGGTTTGTGATGTGGTGAGGTGAGGTGTGTTGAGATGAAGTGAGATAAATGGAGGTGAGATTAGGTGAGTTGTTTTGGAGTAAGGTGAGGTAGTTAGATGAGGTGAGGTGTGAGATGAAGTGAGGTGAGTTGAGATTTTTGAGAAATGGTGAGTTGTGAGATAAGGTGAAGTGTGGTGTAGTGAGGTAAGGTGTGGTGAGGTGAGATGAAGTGAGGTATGGTGAAGTGAGTTATGGTGAGATGTGATAGGGTGAAGTGAGCTATCATGAGGTACAGTGCAGTGAGATGAAGTGAGTTGTGGTTTGTTGAGGTGAAGCGAGGTAAGGGATGGTGAGATGAGGTGTGGTGAGATGAAGTGAGGTGAACTGAGGTGATATTAGATGAGGTGTGTTGAGGTTAGGTGAGGAATGGTGATATGAGGTAAGGTGAAATGAGGTGAGTTGAGGTACTATTAAGTGGGGTATAGTGAGGTGAGGCAAGGTATGGTGATATGAAGTAAGGTATGCTGAGGTGAGATGAGATGAGGTATGGTGAGGTCAGTTGAGGTGTGATATGAGGTAAGGTGTGGTGAGGTGAGATCAGGTGACATGAGTTGAGGTGAACTGAGTGAGATTAGGTGAGGTGTGGTGAGGTAAGGTATGGTGGAATGTGCTGAGGTAAATCAGTGCCCACCTTTCCATCTTCTAAAATTGTATAGGGTTTTCTTGTCCACTCTCCTTCCTATACTCCTTGTGATTTGCACTAATGCCTTTTTTAATTCCTTTCCAGTCATTTTCACTGAGATTTAATGAAGGAGTAGTAATATATGGTATTGTGTAGATGGGCCATGTTTTGCTGGAAGTCTAAGACAGTATTTCTCAAACTTTTCTGTCAGAGAACCTCTACATTCTTAAAAATTATTGAAGACCCAAAGAACTTTTATGTTAATTGTATCTTTTAATATTTGCTGTATTAAATATTAAAGCTGAACATTTTTTTTATTTTTTAAAATTTTTTATTTATTTATTTACGATAGTCATACAGAGAGAGAGAGAGGCAGAGATACAGGCAGAGGGAGAAGCAGGCTCCATGCACCGGGAGCCCGACGTGGGATTCGATCCCGGGTCTCCAGGATCGCGCCCTGGGCCAAAGGCAGGCGCCAAACCACTGCGCCACCCAGGGATCCCTAAAGCTGAAAATTTTTAATATTCACTTAAATTAGCAAAACTGAAACTACTATAGGTAACAGAAAGAGTCTGATTTATCAGAAGATGGTTGAATCCTCATATCTCATCGAAGTTAGTCTGTTGTGATTCATAGGTCACGTGGCTTTTGCAAAACTCTACACTTAAGAAATGAGAGTGAAAAAGACAATGATGTTTTAGTATTATTAAGAAAATAGTTTTGATGTTGCAGACACTCTAGAAGGGTTTCAGGCACTCACATCAGGGTTCCCTGGGTGGGTCACACTTTGAGAACCATGGTTCTAAGGTGCCATCAGCATAGTTGCCTGTCAGTGTGAGCTCTCTGGATTTATCCCAGGGCTTCAGACTTGAATGTCTATATCTGCTCTGTTTTCTCTCTTGCCTCGATTTCTAGAAAGAGAGGACCTAGAGGATCCAGAATATGAGGCTGAGTTTCTTCCTCCAGAAGCTGAAAACAGCGCTGACTTGGGATACTGCTGGTAAATGATGCGGGTGGGCAAGCCCAGCCTGGGCATCCTCTGTAGAGAGGCTGAGCTGGGCAGCGAGGTCAGGTGGTGTCCCTTCTACATTCAGCCCACAGAGAAAGCAGAGCACAGATGCTGATAAAAGTAAGAAGAGACCAGCGGTCCCGGATAGACTCAAGGCCTGCCACCTGCGGAAGACCTGGAGCCACCTAGAGAAGCTGCGAGAAGAGAAAGAGCTTTTCATTCAGAAAAGCAGGTGAGGAGCGCCAGGGGGCTCAGTCTGACCTCAGTGGAGGTCATGATCTTGGCATCCGGTCCCACCACGGGCCTGGCAACCCCCACCACCTGTTCCAGGCTCTGTGCTCCGTGGGGAGTCTGCTTCTCCCTCTCCCTCACCCCTTTCCTCACTTTCTCTCCCTCTCTCTAATAAATAAAGAAAAAGAAAATCAAGTTAGCCGAGTGGTGGTGGGCGGGGCCGGCAGCGGGAGCAATGGTGGGCGTGGTAAGTGGTGGGCGTGGCACGTGGCGGTGGGTGAGGCCTAGGTAGTAAGCTGTAATAGGAGGGGTGAGCAGTGGTGGGCGTGGTCAGTGGGGAGCAGCGGGCGTGGTGAGCAGTGGGTGGGGGCAGGGTGGTGGGCGTGGCGAGTAGGGGTGGGGCGGGTGGGGGCGGGACAAGTGGTTGTGGGCGGGGCTACCCTTGTTATGGAGGCCCTGGAGCTGGACCTGGAGGTGGTCCTGGAGTCCTGGATGGGCAGACCTCCTGCCTTGTGGGCTGTGGTCAGGTGAAGCTGCAGCCGGTGTCCTGGTCGCCCCCGCTGGGTCTGGACCTGGCCAGTGCCCTGTATGGGGCTTGCCCTCAGGTGCCCCTGCGTGCCCCACAGGCCCTTCCTGCGTGTCTCACAGGCCCCTCCGCCAGCACCGGCAAGGATATAGGTGATCCCCAATGTCTGTGAAGAAACACAGAAAAGTCGGAAAGTTTTGAAGATGGTTATAGCTGTCACCCCTACACCACCGTTAACCTTTTCCCGTTGTTTCTTTCTCTGGAAGACATGCGTGCATTTACATGATTTCTTTTTGCTATAAGTTACTTTCCCTAAGGAAATGGACCTCTCCCTACCTGTGCCGCATCCAGGTCCACAGGGCAGCTTAGAGCGAGTTTGGTTCTGCCGTTTTCATCACAGGAGCTAGAGTTCTGCATCAGGGTTCAATCCAGGCCCACACACTGGCTGGCTGGCTGTTGGGTCTGTGGGTTTTAGAACACAGATGAGGTGCCACAGTTGGATGCCCTCTTGCCTGTGCCCTTTACATGCCTGAGCTCGTTCATTTGTGCTGGTTCATGTTAATTTTCATTTGGGAGGAGGTCACACAGGTGGCTTTCAGAAAACAGATGTCCAATACCCTGATCATGCAGCTTGCTTATGTGAGAGAAATCCCTGGAGAGATGATGTGACCTCAGACCCTGGCCTGGGTGAGAGGGGACAGGTGTCCTCAGCTCCTGGCCTGATTGAGAGGGAACAAGTGACTTTGGCTGCTGACCCGGGCAAGGGGGACAGGTGACCTCAGCCCCTGGCCTGGGTGAGCAGGACAGGTGACTGCAGCACCTAGCCTAGGCAAGGAGAGCTGGAGGGAAATAGCAACCTAGTCTGTGAAGGCCTAGACCTCACCCTGCCCTAAGCCCCACTGTCCTTTTCTGAAGATGGGTAATCATCGAGGCATCTACAGGAAGGCATGCAGAGAGACTGAATTCCAGAGAACCACTTACTCAGATTCTGGTTTACTTTCAGAGGAGAGCTGCGTGCTTGCTGCCAGAGGATAGATCTCATCACCAAACAACAAGCGAGCGTGGCAGCTGAGGTGGCTGCGGGAAGAGAGGCCAACAACACGTAGGTCTTGCGCACTGGGCACTGAGGGGGCTGACTAGTGCCATGCAAAAGAGGGGCATCCAGGCCCACTCCAACCATGACCTGTACCAACACCTGTGGCCTTGAGGTACACGAGGAAGCAGCCTAGCTGACCTCCAGGGTGGGAAACACACAACCCCAAATGGAAACAAACAGATGATCACAAGGACAAGAAAGCTGATGGCCATGAGGTCAGGAGGGGTAATCACTTTGAGGCAGATGCCCAGGGAGGTGTCCTGAGAAATTACCTCCAGGCCAGGACCTGAGTGACAAAAACAGCTTCTCTGTAGTAACCAGGAAAGAACCTTCTGGAGAGTGAAGTTGTGCAAAACCCCAAGAGACCCCGAACAGAGGGGCCACCCTGTGGGGACAGTGCAGGGATACCAATGGGCTTAGGGGAAGAAACATGAGGAAAGTGGGCAGGGGTGTAACCAGGGCAGGTTCTCCAGCAAATTCTATGCCTGGCCAAGCAGCCAGAGGTGGGTGTAGGAGGTCACACCCACTGCCATCCCCATTGGCTGGTATAGACAGATTTCTCTCAAGGGCATCCCTGGGAAGGCCTGTGGGGTGGCAGCTGCAGGGAGGCTTTCGGGCCGCCGGGCTGACACTGCCTCCCAGCCTCCCTTGCCCCCTGTCCCTGTGCATCAGCAGCGCCGCCGTGGGCCGCCTCCAGGCAGTGTCCAGACGCCTATGCATGGAGCTAGACAACGAGAGAGACCTGCAGTCGAAGATCACGGCCCTGCTGCAGAAGAGCGAGTGAGTGAGGCAGGGCAGGCAGCCTTCCTGTGGGTGGCTGGATGCTGCCCCTCAAGTATTGAGTGTTGACTTTAACTGCCAAGAAATTGGAAGGGAGCTCATTGATGAAATCATTGAAAGGATAAGACTTCACATTTTTTGAAATGTTTCCCACTTTCTCCATGTGTGCTTACATTTTTAAGAACTATGAAATCTGCTTCTTTTCCTTTTCCCCTTTCCTGCTTTGTGCTTCCCAAGAACCACCAGCACCATTTTTAAAAAAGATTTTATTGATTTATTTGAGAGAGAAAAAGAGAGAGCGCATGAGTGGAGGGAGGGGTAGAGGGAGAAGCAGACCCCCTCACTGAGCAGGGAGCCCAATGTGGGGCTCTGTCCAAGGACCTCAAGATCACGACCTGAGAGGAAAGCAGATGCTTCACCTGCTGAGCCTCCCAAGTGTCCCTCACCAGCACCATTTTAAAAATTGTTTTGGGGGCGCCTGACAGGCTCAATTCAGTTAGTTGAACGTCCGACTCTTGATCTCAGGGTCAGGAGATGGAGCCCCGCCCCAGGTTCTAGGCTGGAGAGTTTGCCTGAAATTCTCCTCCCTTAGCCCCTCCCTGCTCACACTCTCCCTTAAAAAAAGATTAAAAAGTGTTTCACAACCTTTGTAAAAGCATCCCCCAGAAAAGAGACTGTTGCATTGTCTTTAATATTTTCCAGACCAGGCTGTGAACATCAGCATTGCCTCTAGCCAGTTGAAGCAAAAAAGGGATTTCAGGAGGGAATCAGATGGGTCATGTCCCTCATGTCCTGCTTCCCTGCATGGTGACCCCCTCCCCCAGGGGCAAGAGGGCATAGACAGACCTGGACAGGGCGTCAGCCACAGGCCACCCCTCTGCTGGAAGAACCACAGCTGCCCACCCCACCCCACCCCATGGCGACTCTTGGGGCCAGGAATCTGTGTATAACCCATCCCTCCTGTGAGTTAGACACAAGCTGGTCTGATCTCCTGGGTCCCGTGAGCTAAAGCATAACACCCTTCCCAAAATCTAATGGGGAGATGGGTGAGAGTAAGGTGGCCAGGATGGTAGATCTATCTGTGAGCAAGCAAGGAAGGACAATGGGTATTTGTGTGGCCCTTGCTTGACAGTTGGCTACAGAGCCAGGTCTCACCAACCAGCACCCAGGTGGGCAGTAGTCTTTACTAGAATGGCAAAAACCCTGGAGTTCCTGCCTTGTCAGATCCCCAGATGCACCTGTGTTCTCTCATGTAGGGGTAATCTGGTGCATCCTCAGTTAAACATGACAAGCATTTATTACCTCAGCCATCCTAGATGGTCTGGAACCCAGGAGCAGTGTAGCTGAGGGGTTCTGGCTCAGGGTCTCCCATGAGGTGTCAGCCAAGGCAGTATCATTGGAAGGTTCACTGGGCTAGGGTATCAGCCTCTGCTCACTCAGTTCCACCCAACATGGGCCTCCTCCTAGGGCTACTTGTGACAGGGCACTGAGCCCCAGGGTGAACAATGTGGAGGGAGGGGGCAGTAGCAAAGCAAAAGCCCCAGAGTCATCTCAGAAGTGAGATCCCATTATTTCTGCCACGTTTGGATCAACCATGGGGCCAGGTGGGTGCAGACTCAGGGGTGTGCATACAGGAGGCAGGGTCACAGGCTGTCATCTTGGAGACTGGTCACCTCATACTGAGTCTCAAGTTCCCCAGCAAAACCAACCACTATGCACTTGAGGTACCTGGCAAGTGGTGATCTGGGTGTTTACACCATCTCAGCACTGTCCTCTCTGAAATGATGTCATTGTGTGGAAGTCATGGGGCTGCATGATGAGCTGAGCCACTGTGCCTCCTCGGAATCACAGCAGTGACAAAGACACAGGTGAATAAGGAAGCCCTGTATGCAGAGGAAGTGATCATTCCTGAGGGCCCGAATCACTGCATCTGCCATAGTGGAAGGCCATCTGGGTCCTGAGGGGCATGTGCAGAGTGGGGCCAGCTCCGCCCTGGAGAGGGCAAATCTGTGTGGCTACCTGTCTGCCTCATTAATGAGAGGGTTCTCTCAAATGGGGTCCCGATATCCTCATGCTCTGGGCCAGTTCTGAGAAGTTCACCCACTTGATGCCTCCGTAAGTCAGGCCATTGACCTCTGAGCCACCAGCCACACCTGCAGTGCTGCAGGGTCTCTGCAGATTGCAGCCTCCACAGGTGGTCCCTCAGGTGATTTGACTGACCAGATGCAGGTTCTTGGAGCTCTGCTCTCAAGGAGGACGTGCCTTCGGGCCATCCTGTATTGCTTCCAACCACGTGCTGGACAGAAGTATCATGAGTCCGGGATTCTGAGGAGGCCCCAGGTGTGGGTGGGGGAGGCCAGGTCTCCTCCAGGGGTCTCATGTGCACTGGGGTGCTAGCAAGGCACCTGAATTTGCGGCCTGGTGTCTCAAGTAGTGCTACTCACGTAGTCATACAATGAATAGTAGTAAAGCACCTGCTACACACCAAACACTGTTCTAAGCATTTGGGATTCATCAGTGAATAGAGCAAATGAAAAGCCATGCCCAGGGAGCCTCTGTTTTTGTGGTAATAGGAGACACACGATAAGCAAAACATGAAGTTCATTTTTTTTTAATTTTTGTTTATTTATGATAGTCACACACAGATAGAGAGAGAGAGAGGCAGAGACACAGGCAGAGGGAGAAGCAGGCTCCATGCACCGGGAGCCCAACGTGGGATTCGATCCCGGGTCTCCAGGATCGCGCCCTGGGCCAAAGGCAGGCGCCAAACCACTGCGCCACCCAGGGATCCCAAAACATGAAGTTCATGACAGGTGGCCCACATCGCACAGTTGCTGTGTCCTTGGACTCAAACTTCTGTCTGACCAGAGGTCAGAATGGTCACGGGCAGGGCAGGCAGGGCTTTGCTCACTCCGCGGGCTCTGTGCCGCTTCCCAGCCAGCCTCCAAGGTAGAGTGTCGTGCTCAGGCACCAGCCTGAGAGCAGTAACATTCCTTTTGTCACTGCCGCAGACAGCATGCAGGTATCTCACGTTCCTGAGGTCAATGCCCACACAGACCTCCCTGGGCTAAAGCCAAGGAGTTGGCAGGGGTGCCTTCCTTTCTAGCGAGAGCTGCTTTCAGGTCCCTTCGGGCTCCTAGAGGCACGCTCCTTCCTGGGCTCATCCCTCTCCCTGTCCTCCAGGCCAGCATCTCTGGCCCTCTGACCTTTCTTCCATTGTCCTCTCCCTCTGACCACATATTTTTCAGGCCTGAGGACCCCATAACCAATCAGTCATGCTCAAACATTCCTGCTGCCCATCCAGCCCACCTCCCTTCCATGCCCTGTCTGTACTGCATCCCAATGTCACAGAAGCCTCCTTCATTTTTTTTTAAAGATTTTATTTATTCACAAGTGACACACACACAGAGGCAGAGACATAGTCAGAGGGAGAAGCAGGCTCCCTACGGGGGGCCTGATGTGGGACTCGATTCCAGGACCCAGGATCACGCCTTGAGCCAAAGGCCGGCGCTCAACAACTGAGCCACCAAGCATCCCAGGAAGCCCCCTTCAAAGGCAGCATCTCCTACCTGTGTCCCTGGCCTATTTCAGGGTGCCACATCAGTGCTCAGGCCAGGTGGGGCAGGTGCAGGTGAGTGCCCGTGGGCACTCAGGAAGGGAGACCCAGGTTGGAACAGGGCAGGGCCCAGGGGTGCTGCAGGTACGGGGGGAGCCTTGCTCTCTAGCAACTGAGGCCCAGAGGGCTCCCAGGAGGAGCTGCCCTTCAGTAGTGTTTGTCAAACCTGGATGTCCAGGCCCTCACAGACCTGGGAGTGGACGCTCCACAGAGGGTACGGCCCCAGGTCTCCAACAAAAGTGCCTCTTGTTTGAAGGAACACCATGTGGCACCTTGCAATCCAGGAGGGACAGCTGGAGGATGTCCGAAAGTCTGCCCAAGAGGAGGAGGTGACCAGCAGGAAGTACCTCCAGGAGCAGGCGGCCAAGCAGCTCCGCAAGGAGGAGGAGGCCTCAGAGAAGATCAAGCGGAACCGGCTGCTGAGAGTCAGGTGGGTGGCAAGGACCTGCCAGGGGACCTGCTGCTTCTTGGTAACCAGCCTGCCTGTGGTCCTGCCTGAGCCCCGCCCCTGGCCAGAGTCCCCCTGCGACCCCCTACTTCGCGACCTCAACATCCACTTTTCCTTTCCATCCCTGCTCTGGCTGCTCCCAGAGGCTCAGGCCCCACTCCCCAGGTGTAGCTCCTGTCCAGCAGCCTCCTAGTTGGCCAGGTTCCCAAGCAGGGCAGAGCAGCATCTGCAGCGGTGTCGGGGCCACAGGGCCCAGCTCCAGCCACTGCAAAGGAGCACCCACTCCTGCTCCCCTGGTGCTCCCCTGCACCATCTCCTTAGCTCTCAATCCTTCCCCGAGGTCCACTCTACTCTTGCCCCTCTTCATGCCAGCCAACCCATTGCCAGCTTTCTCCGCTGTTTCTGGGGGAGCCAAGCCCCTGGTCACTCACAGAGTCCTCACCCACCCCTCCCCACCAGCTTGGTTCTCATCCTGCCCTTGGTGCCAGCTCTGCCCCGAGTTCCCCTCCTGGCCCTCATCCTCGGCACAAGCACTCAGGTGATGCCACCCTGGGCCTTAGGGACACCTGTTCCCCTGGGTGGGTGTGGCCCCTCCAGAGCTGCTGGGCCTGGGTTTCTGTTCCCACTGCCCCATGCACCAGCAGGAAGTCCATGTGCCTCCAGAAGGATCATGTGCTCAGACACCAGAAGCTGGTGGAAGATGCCCAGAAGAATCACAGGATCGCAGTGAAGTTCCTGAAGGCTTCCCTGAGAAGGTAGTGTATTCAGATCCTCTTCCTGTTGATACCCTGGAGGAGAAATATAAGAATGGATCCTTTGTTTTTGTTTAAAATTCCCCAATTTTACTATTAAATCATCACCTGACTGTCAAAAAATAGTAAAACTTGTTTTCAGTTTTGCTCTGATCGCCCTTTATTTTCAGAAGAGGACCTACCATAAAATGGCAGGAGCCTCTAGTCCAGAGAAACATGCTTCAGTGTTTCCTCGTGACATTCAACACAGCACTTTGCATGTATTTCATTTTCCTGGCGGACACAACCAACCCCCAGGATCCTTCCAGTTCTGTACTAGCATGTCAGTATGACCTTGGTACTTCTGGTGAGAAATCCACCTTCCTCCAGAATTCGCGAGCAGGAGAAGGAGGAGGAGATGAAGTCCCGGGAGCACATGAAGAGGCGCATGGATGCCGTGCTGGCTCTGAAGAACAGCATCACTGCCAACAGGGTAGGCACCCGCTCAAAATCTATCATCGACCTTTGCCCGCAGGGCACATCGCAATCCAGGAGGGACAGTGTGAGAGCCTCCCGACACCCTCAGGGCCCCATGCAATCCTCCAGGAGCCTGTCCAGGCCGTTCTATACCTGCACACTGCTCAGTCTGCCCTACCCTGTCCTGAATCCCTGCTCCTTGGAACAGATCCTGGGTCCTCAGACTCACCACAAGTGGCAGCCTGGGGGTCCACCAAGGTTCCCCAAGGATCCGTCACCCACAGGTCTGTGCTGGCTCTAGCCAGATGCCTAGCTGGCAGGGAAGAAAGCAGCACAAACCTGTCCTCAGGGGGCCTTGTCCATGGGAGGAGTGAGGACAAGGCTCCAGGAGGACCAGGGCTGGGTGAGGCCACGTGCAGGGGCCCAGGACCTCACTGGGGGAAGTGGCATCTGCCTGGGGCCTGGGCTGTGGAAGTTAGGCCTAGGAAGTGGAAAGGGGATGAAGGGGAACAGCATTTGCAAAGGCTCAGAGGCAAGAAAGAGCAGGCCTCTTGGAGGAAAGCCCAGTGTGGCCAAGAAACAGCAAAGAGCCGAGGCTGGCAGCCCATCCTGCAGAGCTGCGGAAGACAGCATGTCAGTTAGGGGAACCCCTGAGGATCCTGAGGATGGCCAGTTGGTAGGTGGGCAGGGCCCAGGGACGGGGTAGCTCTGCAAACATCTATTCAGGCATCTCAGAACTAATTTAATGTCACCCATTCAACAGAAAGCTCTGGGCACATGCGTGTGCCAGTGCTGTAACCTCACTGTTCTCTGTTCCCAAGGAAACACTCCGGAAATTTCAGGCATGGAGCCAGGCCAAGGCAGACCTGGCTGAGCAGAAGGCCCAAGCCGAGAAGGAGAGGATTCTGGCCCAAGGTGGGGACGCTTTCAAGCAGCTTTTCCATCAGCGCCGGTGCGAAGAGCTGGAAGCCCAGAACCGGTGTGTGCAACGTAGCACTCCAGGGGAGATGCCCCTCTGGGCCATGGGAGGCATGTCCGTCCTAGTTAGCCAAGCTGCTTCCCTCTCTGGGCTTCCCCCTCTGGGGCCTCCCCAGTCCTCAGAGCAGGTCCTTCTGGCCCCATCACCCCTAGGGTGGCCCCACTTGGATTCCTGGCCTGGTTTCCCGATTTCTCAGGAGCCACCCCGAAGCCCCAACATGGCTCACTGTCTGGCTCTGGGCTCTCCAAGGGCCCTGCCCTGGATGGCTATGAGCAGCCTAGGCTCTCCCTCCTGGGCTTCACTTTCTGATTTCCTCCAAACAGTCACTCGGTGCTGCCTCCTCAGTGCCCTACACCCCCTCGCAATCCTGAGATCACCCCCTTCAGCCCTTCAGGGTCCCTGTACACAGCCCCCCAGGCTGCGCCCTGCCCTGCTTCCCACCCCCAAGTCCCCTGGAGGATGGGCTTCCCAAGGTCCTGCCCCTGACCCCACCCCCAGTCATGGTCACAGTTAGAGTTTTCCCAGGTGTGGCCTCCTGGTTCTCTCACCGGGGACAGCCTCTCTCATCCAGGGGTCACTATGCCCTGAATGTCACCACAGGAGCTTTGCCCTTAGCTCACCTGCTAGGGGCTCCCAGGGGCAGCCCCAGAAGCCCCTTAGTCTGGCACAGCCCTGGCACCTAGGAAGAGTCAGAAAGGAGCAGCTGGGATGAGTGAATGGGCAAATGGCCTCAAGCCCTACTGTGGCCTTACTCTGTGCCTCATCAGGAGTGCCCAGCTGCTGGCCTGGAAACCAGGAGCAAACTGCAGCGCCTGTGGGGTGGAGGTTTACAGTGGGGCCGCAGCCAGGCTCTGCCGGAATCTCTAGTCCTGGGTCTCCATCCAGCCTGGCAGCCATCCTCGGCCTCATCTGCCTCCCAGGAGCCTGGGGCTTGTGTGGAGACCAGCTCCTTGCAACCCTGTGCCCCATGGGGCCACACCAGTGCTCCTCAGGAAGGGGCTTTTGGGGAGGGGCTCTTGGGGCCCCCAGAGGCAGTTGGCATCTCACTTCCTCTGGGCCCATGTGGTGTTCTCCCACAGCACCTTCGAGGAGGAGCAGAAGCTCAGAAAGCAGGAGATCATCAACCGGATCTTGAAAGAGGAGGCTGAGGAAGAGAAGAGGAAGAAGAAACAGTCTTCCCCTGCCCCAGCCATGGGCCAGGCGCCTCTGAGAGAGAAGACCTGGAGTTACATCACAGACATTTGTGAAGGGAGGGATGCAGTGGCCCTTCCCAGCTTCCCTGGGGTGAGCAAATGCCCCATCAAATACTCAGCAGCACCAGGGGAAGCAGACGGGCAATGCTCCCAGGGACCGTGTTGGGCCCTCTGGCTGAGATCCAACAGAGGCCACCCAGCCTGTCCCTGGGTAACCAAGACAGGCCGATGACCACAGGCCAGTGCCTGTTACCACCCTGGTGCCAAACATGTTCAGGACCCCTAGAGTCCAGTGTCCTCCCTCTCGTGCATTCCCCCATCCATTCATGCAATTGACCCTACCAAGTGCAGACTCCGTTCCAGCTCCCGGGCCAGTGACCTGTTTACCTGTCCCGGGCTGGGGGTGGGAGGGTGGGGGTCAGGGAACTCAGGATCCCCAGACCCCAGTGCAGCACATCCACTTCTGCTCTTGTGCACCCCAAGACCTGAAGGTCCAGGTCACCCCAGGTCTGTGGGGCCTTGATCTGGCCTGAAGTGGTTTTCAGTTTTCCTATTTCCCAGCCCTGTGGCTGCAGAGTCTGTACCTCACCCCACCCCCACCCCCTGTGCCCCCTGCCCCCACCCACATGCTGACCTGGCTTACACCCCAGGGCCTTCACACCTGCTACTTCCTCCCCTGTCCCCTGCCCTGGGAGCCTTCCCTGCCCATCTACAGTGGTGCCCTGTGTTTCTCTGCATTGGCACCTGCTCTACTTCCTTGGGAGCCTTTCACACGATTGTAGCAATGTCTCCTCCATCTCTGTCTGATGTCTCCTGGAGGAGGCTACACCCCATTTCCACTGCAGCCCAATCCCAGAGCCAGGCGTCCTCTGGGTGTCAACCATGGATGGCTTTTCCAGGGCATAATTTATAAGAGCAAAAATTAGAAATAATGCAACACTAAGGGTCTGTGAGAAAGATTCCCGTAGGTCCATAAATTAGTATCTTGTGGATTCTTTTGTGGGCGTTGGAAAAAAATATTTAATGCCTTATAAAGACATTTATCTTTTATTTATTTATTTATTTATTTACTCATTCATTCATTCATTCATGAGAGACGCAGAGAGAGAGAGGCAGAGACACAGGCAGAGGGAAAAGCAGGCTCCATACAAGGAGCCCAAAACGGGACTCAATCCCAGGACCCCAGGATCACACCCTGGGCCAAAGGCAGGAACTAAACCACTGAGGCACCCAGGGATCCCAACATTTATCATTTAAATGGGAAAGGTTACAAAACAGACTATGTTCTAGTGCCTAGATAAAGAGAACAAGATGCCTTTATCTTGGTACCTGGGGGCTTATGGTGAGGGTCACTTTGTCCTTGCTAATCTGTAGAGTCCCTATTTGCAGGACAAGCTGCAGGATGGCGACAGGGCTGAACAGCCCAAAGCCTCTCAGTTCCTGGAAGCCATTTCCAGTGAGTCTATCCAGGGGGACCTCAGGAATGTCAGCTGGGAGGATGACACGCTGGCTGAGCCGGAGATCCCCGGGCTCTGGAAGGAAGACTATAAGCCGTACCAGGTAAACACTTCTGCTTCCAGGGCCATGAAGCCAGACAGCGGCCTGGCGCCTGCTGGCCCAGAGCACGAGGCCATAGACAGAGCTCCTGACCAGGTTACTCACATCGCTTGGAGAGGCACCTTTACTTATGTCACTTGGGGAAATGTTGCTTCCTATTACAAGTTTCAACACCTTCCTCTGGGCCTGATTTAAAAATCTGAGAAACTGGGGCATCTGAGTGGCTCAGTCAATGAAGCATCCAACTCTTTTTTTTTTTTTTTTTTGCTTTGTTCCTGCTGAGATGTTAGCTCCTTATTTTCCTTTAAGATTATATATTTGAGAGAGAGAGAGAGAGAGCACACGAGAGCACGGAAGGGGGAGGGGCAGAGAGAGAGGGAGCAGCAGACTTCCCACTGAGCCTGGAACCCAACCTGGGGCTCAGTTCCTCAACCCCGAAATCAGGACCTGAGCCAAAATCAGGAGTTGGACACTGAACCAAGCCCCCAGGCACCCCACACTCAGCACAGAGCCTGCATAAGGTTCTTTCTCTCCTGGGGCACCTGGTGGGGGGCTCCGTCCGTGAAGCATCTGCCTTCGGTTCAGATCATGATCTCAGGGTCCTGGGATCCAGTCCTGCAAGAGGCTCCCTGCTCAGCGGGAAGTCTGCTTTTCCCTCTGCCCTTCCCCCTGCTCATGCTCTCTTGCTCGCTCTCTCTCTCTCTGTTTCAAATAAATAAAGTCTTAAAAAGATTCTCTCTCTCCCTCTGCTCCTCCCCTTCCAAAAAGTATATATATAAATAGAAAATAAATAAAAATGGATAAATTAGTAAACTGTTCAAATATCTAAAAAACCCCACCTGGGCATTACTTCCCGGAAATCTGCTGGGCCCCTGGATGCGTCTGCTCTTCCCATCTTTCCTTTTTCTCTGAAGGACGGCCTGCTGGCTGATGCCAGGCTCCCCTGGCCTGGCTGCCCTGGGTCTAGCTCTGTGCCACCTCCTCCCGCTGCCCCCCAGCCACCCCCCAGGGCATGGGGGGCAGAGTGCCACTCTGGGCCTGGGCTTGCCCCTGGTGCCAGCCACTGTTACTGGAACCTCAGGTGCCCAAAGAGGAGGCAGACAGGAAGCCCGTGGATGGGACAAAGATGGACAAGGACATCCTGGCCCGTACCATGGAGCAGCTACGCAGCCGAGTGACCCACAAGCAGGTGGTGTCAGGGCACGAGTTCAAAGGTTGCCCATTCAACAGCAAGCCCAAGCTCATTCACTTCAAGGTGAGCCCTGAGAACCCAGTGGGTGTGCAGGAGGGACAAACCCAAGCAGCCTCCCCTGGTGCAGGGGACTGGGTGGGGGTCAGACACCAGCCCCTGAGGGTCCCCTGCTCAGGGCCAGCCTCCCTGGAGAGGGACAGCGAGGAGGTCAGTGCCCACACGTACTCATAGCCAGGAGAGGCTGCGGGGGCTCTGGGGCTGGCATGCAGTCCCTTGTCCATCCATCCATCTGTCCATCCCAGTAGGGCTCCGGCCTAGCCCACACCAACCTGGCTCCCCAGAAAGCCAATTCCCACCCCACTCTCCCTGCACTTCGTGTGCCCCCAGAAGGGCTCTTCCCAGGTCAGGAAACCTGGGGAACTGCTCCTGGTCTGTGAGGATGGTCCTCGCGCTTGTCCCCAGACCTTCCTCTGGCATCCTCACAGTGGCCATCGGATGTGAGGAAAGTCACCACATGTTCACAGAGGTGGCTGCCCTCCGACAGGCTCCAAATAACCTCTGCTTTTCCCAGGATTTTGATATCGGCAAAGTGTACAAGAAGAAGATCACGTTGATAAACGCCACATACACCATCAACTACTGTAAACTGATGGGCGTGGAGGAGCATCTCCGGGACTTCATCCACATAGAGTGAGGGCTGTGGCGTGGGCTGTGGGTGGTTCTCACGTCTTCCCACCTCGCAGCCAGTGCTTCCGTGTGAGACCTTCCGCTGGAGGCTGCGCTGTCTCTCTCCCTGTGTGGGTGTTGTTGGAGGCCAACCTCGTTTTGCATGATCCGGGTGTGGCGGCCACATGCCCTTCCTTGTAGTGTATCACCCATTCTGGCCAAGATGCCCCTGGCAGTTGTTGGGCCTTTTCTGTATGAAGCTTAGACCCGTCCCTGCCACAGAATGGTCCCTTCCAACTGTCTGCATGTCCACTCTGTCACCATGTTTCCCTTTCCTTCTGCAGAACCCCACTGGTGCATGAGTGGGTCTTTTTCCCATCCACCTGGCCCCCCTAATGTTGCTTCTTCCTTGCTTTTTCCCCACATCTTTCTCAGGCAGACCTGTTGTCTCCACTACAGTGTCTCTCTTTTCTTCTCCTTCGCATTTTGCCTTTGGTTTTAAGGAAATTTCTTCCTGGTTTCTGCTAGCTTTTAATTGATTTGGAGGCCCACAATGACCCAGGATGGCGCTAGGACTCCTGGCTGGAGTGCATGGGAGCAGGACAGGTACCCACCACCCATCCCTGAGACCTGTCCCCACAATCTGTGCCTGCTGACCTGGGCTCTGGTCAGCTTCTCCCACATAGGACATGCTATTCTTTTCCGGGCACTGTTTGTAGGTCAGACATGGGATCTGTGTGCCCCCTCCTCTTTCCAGCAGCATTCTGGACTCTCCCTGCTCTGCAAAGGCTTATGTGGGCAGAGCATGCCCAGAAATTGCCCTTTAGCACTGTTATGCTGTCCTGTCCTGTCCTGGAGACCCAGGATGTACCTGCGGTCCACTCATTCTTCATGCTGATCTGCGAGTGTCTTGGGGAGTCGATCCTAAAGCATTCCCTGCGGGGGCTGGAGCTGAATCTCTCGTTGACAGCTACTTTCTTCCCACACTGCGGTTATCACCCTCCATCTTCTGGTCCCTATGATTGCTGTTGCAAAGTTGGCTTCCAGCCCAAAGGTGCAGCCCTTGTGGGTTGTCTGGCTTCCCTCTGGTCACCTTGAGACCTCCTTATCTCCCGTGTCCTGCAGGTGTGGGCTGATTTCTTAGATGTGTTAGGGCTCCCTGAGGACTCAGACCTCTGAACAACTGTGGACACCTCTCCAGCCATATGTTCAGGTGTGGTCTCGAGTCCCACGCTCACCTGGCCCTTCTCACTCTGGGTCTAATTGGCTGTTGAAATTGCTCACTGAGTCTCTGATTTCAGTGGCCATACTTCTCATTTCTCAAAGTCCTGCCTCCTGCCTCAGGCCTGCAGCTACATCTCGATGGTACCTTGTTCCCTTCTCATATCTGTGATTCTCTGTCTGTTGATAGTTTTAATGTTACATCTTTTAAAGTCACCATTCAATCATTCTCTCATCCGAGGACCTTGGAGTTTGACCCTACTGTCTGCACGTATGTCGTTGGCTTACATGTGTCCTTTCCAACCTGGGATTCCCATCTTCTCACCAGAGGGATTCTGCCCCACTGGGTCTCTGTGATGTGGCATCAAAAACCTTCCCTCCCAACCAGAGACATTTTGGATTTGCTTCTGCCTGGTGCTGTGGGGTCATTACCAGCCAGGGGGGAGACAATTATATTAAATTTTTAGCTTATATCTTTCTAATTCAAGCACCTTTGGTAAAATCCAACCTTCTGAAAATACATCCCACATTAGAAATTCTCTGGGAGCTTCTTTTTCTCGCTCAGGATCCAGACCAAGACAGGCCGACTGCCCTCAAATCTCCCTGTTTCACGGAAACTGGGGTTCAGAGGGTCCCAGCTGTGTGCAGGGTCAGTGTGAGTCCCCTACCTGGCTCATACCCCTCTCGCTGTGTTGAAACCCTAGGCCTGTGGTTCCAGGCCGGCACATTCATGTCCCCAGGTTAACCATGAGTACTGCTCACACTGTGGCATCTGCCCCCTCTGGGGACCTGCCTTACTTGCCCATCGACTCCCTTACTCTGCACACATTCAGATGTTACTTGAGTGTCTCCTGGGACCTGGGCACTGGGGCACTGGGCCACAGTGCCCAGCACAGGTGGGAAGGAGTGCAGAGACCCACTCAAGTGTCTGCTTCTGTCCAACTATGCCTTCCCACTGCTCTGATTACATATACTGTCAATTGTTGTGCCTGTAGCTTTGATCCCCCTGGTCCCATGTCAGCCGGGATGTCCTGCGAAGTACTTGTCACCTTCAAGCCCATGGTGAGTGCCTGTCCCAAAACCAAGTGATGTAAACGGACTTTCCTCCATTGTGAGTGAGTGGTGGATGGAACTGGGTCTCTGCTTCTCCTTGGGCTCTGCAGACATCGATGTGATTGGTGCTGGAGGAGGGAAACTTGGGCCTCAGTGGGGGTCACACAGACCCCTGTTCTGTTTCCAGACACATTCAGCAATGTTTCTGATGTTAGGAAGAATTACAAGGCTGCCCTGATGGTTTGCAAGCCAGCAGGTGTGATCCGTTGGTGCTCTTGGGTCTAAATGGGGCATGTTCAAGTGTCCTAAGGGGCCGTGGCCAGTGTGGGGCTCCTCCTGCTGCCGCCACACCCAGGTCCAGCCCATGGTTCTGAAGACAAGGCAAAGTTACAAACGTTATGGTGGTTGGGGTGTTTTGTTTTTTAGATAAACAAAGATCTAGAAGGAAACATCTCATTTCTGGCTCAAACGGGTGCATTTTCTGTTCCACTGAAGTGCTCCACAAAGAAATGCACGGTAAGTCCAGAGACTCCCGAGCCAGTACCTCCAGGGAAGCCTTGATGGCACCAAGCAGTGCATCCAGGTCTGGGCCTCGGTCCCACACAGCTCGGGTGAGGCTGGAGCAGCGGCCTGGGCAGGTGAGAGCTCGAGTACTGCTCTGAGCAAGTGAGTGTTCATGTGGACGCTGGGAAGCAGGGATAAGTCCTGCAGCCACCGGGAGACCTCAGGGCTGATCTCAGGAGACTCGGTCACCTCGGATGCTCTGTGATGTCCCCTCTATTTCCTTCTGAAACTATAGTCATCATGCTGTGGACACCTCCCCAGGCCTGATGACTGAGATTTGTACCTTTGTACCACCTCCCACAACCACCTCTGCTGTCTGCACATGAGCTGGGGTTGTGGGTTCCTCACATAAGTTAGGTCGTACAGTGTCTTTCTCTGCCTGGCTTCTCTCACCCAGCAAAGTGCTCTCAACGTTCATCTGAGCTATTCCAAATGGTACGATTTCCTTCTTTTTTTATTCCATCGTACCATTTACCCCATCTTCTTTATCTGTTCATCCACTGGCAGACACTTAAGCTGTCCCCATTGGTTGGTTATTGTAAATAATGTTGCTGTGAATATGGGGTTTCAGGTGTCTTTTTGAGTTAGTGGTTTCATTTCCTTGGATATATTGTTGGAAATGAGATTGCTGATCTCAGAGTAGTTCTACTTTTAACTTTTCGAAGAAATTCCAGACTGTTCTCCACAGTGGCTGTACCAGTTTGCACTCCCACCAACAGTGCATGAGGGTTCCCCTTTTCCACATTCTTGCCAACATCTGTCTGTTGATTCTAGCCGTTCCAACAGCTGTGAGGTGACACCTCATTGTAGTTTGACTTGCATTTCCCTGATGACAAGCAATGTTGAGTAACTTTCCACACACCTGTTGGCTGTCTACATGTCTCCTTTAGAAGAATGTGTGTTCAGGGTAGTGGAGAAGAGCTGCATAGTACCCCATGGATCAACCACCTGAGTGCTCCATCCATAAGAACTGCCTTAATTTTAAATTGTCTATTTAAAAAAAGAAAAATGTTTGTTCAGGTACTCTGTCCATTTTTTTAAAAGATTTTATTTTTATTTATTAACAAGAGAAACAGATAGGCAGAGACACATGTAGAGGGAGAAGCAGGCTTCCTGTGGGGAGCCGGATGTGGGACTCAATCCCATGACCCCAGGATCACTCCCTGAGCTGAAGGCAGCGCTCAACCACTGAGCCACCCAGGTGTCCCTGCCTATTTTTATTTTATTTTTTTAAAGATTTATTTATTTATGATAGACAGAGAGAGAGAGAGAGAGAGAGGCAGAGACACAGGAGGAGGGAGAAGCAGGCTCCATGCCGGGAGCCTGACTCGGGACTCGATCCCGGGACTCCAGGATTGCGCCCTGGGCCAAAGGCAGGCGCTAAACCGCTGAGCCACCCAGGGATCCCCCTTGCCTATTTTTAATCAAACTTTTTTCACCATTGAGTTGTGTGAGTGAGTTCTTTATATATTTTGGATGGCAAATATTTTTCCCATTCTATAGGTTGCCTTTTCATTTTGTTTACCTCTGCTGTGTAGGACTGAGTCTTTTAAAATTCTTTTCTTTTTAAATTTTTATCATTGGAGTGTGGTTGACATACAGTGTTGTATTAGTTGGGGGTGTACAACATCAATTCGACAGTTCTATACATTACTCAGTGCTCATCATGGTAAATGTAGTCATCACTGATCCTCTTTTTAATTAAGAAAAAATTCAAACATAAGGAAAAAACAGAAAAAATAGCCCACACAGGATGTGCTGCCTGGTGTGTGCTTTGCTGATCCACTTCCCAGTAAACCAGCAATATCAACACCTCAGCCTTAAAAAACTTCCACATTCATGTAGAATAAAGGAGATTCTCCTGCAGAAACCACCAACCATGGCCCCTCCTGAGTGAATGAGTCAGCACTTACTGCAATGATGCTGGGTAACAAACCACTCCTACATTTAGCAGCTTATCACAGCAGGAAGTATTTTGTCAGGTTGGGCTTGGCCAGGTGGCTCACTTCAGGATACAAGTGAACAAAGCAGTAGCTTCTCATGGATAACAGCCACAGCCCTGGAAACGAGGGCCACCCACACAACCTCCTTCATCGCATCTCCTAACAATGTTGACTAACACAAGTCACATGCAACATGCTCCATCAGTGGAGCAGAGAAAGAAGCCCCCTTTCCAGGACAGCACGGGATGTCAAGACCGAAAGCGGGAATGAACGAGAGGTCACAATAGTCACAATATTCTCCCCTGCAACATCCACATGCCTCCTCCCGGCCTGTTACCTGGTCCACACTCACATGTACCAGCTGCCCCAAACCACCTCCCATCGCTGTTTGCCAGCTAGGATACCCTCAAGATCCCACACTGTGTTGATTTACCATCTTAGCCAAGTGTAAGTCCACGCTTCAGTAGATTACATGCGTTCATAATGGGCAGGCACTGCCTCCATGCTTTCCAGAACTCTCCTGCCTTCCAGAATGGAAGCTCTGTCCCCAGGCAGCACTTAACTGCAATGGCCCTGCGCGCCTCCTCACCACCTTCTGTCTCTGGGGATTTGAATGCTTTAAGTGCCTTGTAAGTGGAATCACGTGGTATTTGTCTTTTGTGATTGTCCTCAGGAGTCATGCTTGTTGCCGCATGTGTCAGAATGTCCGTCCTTGTCAAGCCTGTAGGTGCGGAGGCCGTGGTTCTCTTTGCCACTCCTTGCCTTCCTGAACCTCATTCCCTGCATCACTGTCTTCTTTTGTGTTTAGTTGATTTTTTTATAGTGAAATATTTAAATTCCTTCCCATTTCCTTTTGTATACATTCTGTCGCTATTTCCTTTGTGGTTACCAAGGGATTCCATTTCACATCCTGACGTTAAAGCACCCTGACTCGGATTTCTCGGATTTCTTGCAGCTGAAGTCCAGTAGCTGATAGAATGTCTGCCCCTTTACGGCTCGGGTATTAATGTCACAGAATTACATCTTTGTGACTGTGTGTCCAAAACCAGGAACTCAAAATATTTCACACGCATTAGTCTCTTCTCATGTAGAAAGCAAAATGTGGATTACAAACCAAAGTGATGATAACATTAGCTTTTAGACTAATACCTGCTTTTTAAAAAAAGCATTAGTCTCTTAAATCATGTGAGAACAAAACCCACAGTTAAAGCCCTGTGACAAGAACACTTGCTTTTATGTTGCCCGTGCGCTCACCTTTACTGAGGCTGTATTTCTCCTGGTGGCTTTGAGTGACTGTCTCCTGAGTCTCCTCCCCGTTTGGCCTCAGAGTGCTCCAGGTGCATTTCCTGCAGGGCCCTCGGCTTTTGTTCATCTGGGAATGTTTTGCTGGAGAGAGGCTTTTGGTTGACAGCTTTTCCCTTTAAGCCCTTTGTATACATCCACCCACTGCCCTCTGGCCTCCAGAGTTTCTGAAATCTGCTGATGACCTTGCCAGGCCTCCTGTGCACTGGGTCATCACCTCCCCTTCTGGGTCTCAGTGGTTTGATTGTAATGTGTCTCGACGTGGGTCTTTTTGGGTTCATATTACTCAGAGTTCAGAGAGCTGCTTTGATGTTTATATTCATGTCTTTCATCAAACTTGGGAGTTAGGACCATGTTCCTTGTCTTCCGCTGCCAGGACCTCTGTGATGTGGCTTCTAGTCCACCAATGGTGGCCCACCCGTGGTCCCATAGGCTCTGCTCACTTTCCTTCAGACTCGACACCTGTTGTCATATGTCATATCCGAGTCCCCTGAGTCTTTCTCCCGTCTGCCACTGATGCTGCCGGTAACATGGCAACAACCCGCCACCTTGTCTTGAACCCCAGTGTGGCACCAACTGCCACCTCCCTACCAAGTGTGGCCATCAACTCAAGGTTTGAGCCATGACCATACCTCCTGCCTGAAGCAGCCCCTTCCTGAGGAGGGATGAGTCACGAGAGGCAGCTGTGCTTCCCTGGTTTCAACCCCTTGGCCTCCAGCCCCACAGGGGAGGCTCAGAAGGCCGTTTTCAGTACTGACTTGTTGCTTTCCCTATGTTTTCACTTCTTTACTAGTCTTTAGCATAAGGAGTTGGTAATTATCACTTCTCATGGTGGCAAGTTAGGTCCTCTCTCTTCCTGTTTCCTCATGGATTCACGGCTTTTGCGTATTCCACAATCTGAAGACTAAATTGATCTTTTAGTCTCCATTCTTGGTGCTCACATGGCCCAGCCGTGGCCATGGCAGCCCTGGGCCCCCACTTAGGTTTATACACAGCCTGTGCGCTATGGCCCCAGGGCAGTGGCATCTCTACTGGTGGCTGCTGAGCCTCACAGAAGCCATGGAGAGCTGATGTGTGCTACAGAACACATTGCCTCCAGCAACCAGGGCTCCAGGGCTCCTGAGCCACCCCCGCATGGTGTGGACACCACGTTCTCAGAGCAGCTCATGGCACAAAGCAGCAGTACTTGCTGAGGAACAGGCCCTCAGAAAGAGCAGGTATGTGGTGGAGTCAAGATTCAAACCCCGGACTCGGCCATGGGAGAAGGCTGGGCACCTGGAAGCCCTGCTCCCCCGGAGGCAGGCCTCAGGTTCCTTTCTGGATGGACCTGGAAAGCACTCATCTGCTAGGCTGGCCCATTGGCAAGTGCAGAGAAGGACCGTCAAATGCCCAGCATAGGCTCCTAGTGTCCTCTGGGCTTCCCTGCAGTTTGATCATCAGATCATCAAGTGGAGCTGCCATGACAAAGGTGCCTAAGACTGTAGCTCAGTTAAGCAAGGACTTGTTTCTGCCTCAGGGGTCAGGGGCTGGGCTGGCATCCTGCCTTGCCACCCTCAAAAAATGGCTTCCAAGCATTGTACCTTCCTAGTCAGAGGGAAGGGGGAAGGGAGGTCCCCCCGCATGAGCTGGAAGTGATGGTGGCATGCTGACCTCTGGCTATAAGGTAGACTGGGCAGTAGAGCCCATGTTCCACTGAAGCTCGGGCTCTGTCATAAACAGGAAGAAGGGAGAACTGCTAGGGGCACACAAGGTGCCCCACAGTGCAGCCCACCAGCCACTGATTTCACCTATGACCTGTTGCTCCCACACTTAGAACACACCAGCCCCTTTCCAGGGCAGCAACCCAGGCCCACCGAGGCACTGCCTCCAGCTCAGCATGTTTGAGAAGGGCCACCCTCCATCCTGTCCACACATGGCTTCTGGAAGTCTGGTGACCTACAGCCAGGAGACAGGTCATCTGCCCACGTACTCCATACACACATGCACACCCACACCTTCACACACAGCCCCACACATCTGCACACATGTGCACACTCACACACAGCCCCACATGCATGCACACCCATACTCACACATTTACACAAAGCCCCACATGTACCAGCACCATGCCTCACAGTGCCCCATGACCTTCATCACCTGACTCAGTGTGATTTCCTCACAGTAATGATTCTGCTCTGCCATCCTCCTGCCAAACTGTGCTCTGTGGGAGGGCCAGAGGGGCGGGAGAGACTCAAACAGCCATGTGGATTATTTGGAATTCTTCTGTAAGGGAGATTTATCTTTTCCTCATTCGTTAATTTATAAAAATTATTTATTGATTTCACTCTTTGAATTAGAATCAAATACAACTTTCTGCTGCTGCTCACATTTTTCTTAGAAGAAATTCAGTGGCCCTGAGGTCCTCTGACACTCGACTATTACTGTGTTCACAACTTCTGGTTGAGGACACTTCCTTTCTTTCTAATACCAGATAACGTGCCTGGTTCATCTGCGCACCTCCTGCCCCCCATCCTAGAGTAAGTCCTCTCCCTAGATAGCCCGGTTTCTTCTCCTGGAGAGTGATGTTAGTAACCAGTATCTGGGGGTGCTGGGGTAGGGGGTGCACAGCCAGTTCATCTCCTGACTCTTGGTTTCAGCTCAGGTTGTGACCTCAGGGCAGTAGATCAAGCTCCAAGTCAGACTCCTTGCTCAGTGCAGAGTCTGCTTAAGACTCTTTCTCCCCCTGCCCTAGTCCCCCCGACCCTGCTCACATGCACACTCTTTCTCTCTCAATAAATAAATACAGGGCAGCCCTGGTGGCTCAGCAGTTTAGTGCCTGCCTTCAGCCCAGGGCATGATCCTGGAGACCCAGGATCGAGTCCCACGTCGGGCTCCCTGCAAGGAGCCTGCTTCTCCCTCTGCCTGTGTCTCTGCCTCTCTCTACCTCTCTCTCTCTCTCTCTCTCTCTCTCTGTCTTTCATGAATAAATAAATAAAATCTTTAAAATAATAATAATAAATACATACATATATATACATACATACAATTAAAAAAAATAAACGGGTATCTGCACAGAAGATGTGGCCATCGGAGCTGGGATGTTGGCACTTCCAAACCTTCATATGGACACCTCCACCTCTAATCTAGGACCACATGGATCGTTCTAGTCTCTTCCCCTTGCTGACCTGTGAGCAGGTCCAACAGGGAGAGCGTGGCTCCCCCAGCCACCACCCGTGCCCTGATCACCCAGCCTGCAGGCTCTGTGCTGCCCCAGAGTCACTTAGCTCCACACCTATTCCCTACTGTCCCTACTCAGGTTGTCTCTTCAAACCTTGACCAAGAGACATGGTTGTGTGACATTTCCCATTCTGTTGAAATTTCCTCAAAGTCCCAAATGATATATTCTTCAATAGACTTTATTATTTAGAGCAGTTTTGGGTTCACATCAAAATTGTGAGGCAGCTGCAGAATTTCCCGGGTGCCCCAGCCTCCACTGTCCCCTCCACCCCAGGGTCCCAGGGTGCATGGTGGGTAACAGGGCCCTAATTGCTGTGCGTCCTGTGGCTCAGACAAAGCTATAAGGACCTGTCACCACCCCTCCGGTCACACAGAATGGTGTCACTGCCCCCCAGCCCCACTGTGTCCACCTGCTCATCGCCCCCACACTGCTGGCAACCACTGACCTCTTTCCAAAATGCCATACATTCCAGAATGCCACACAGTTGGCATTGCTGTATGTACCTTTTTAACAATGTGCCACTTGAGATTTTTTTGTCTCTTCAGGGCTTGTAGCTCATTTCTTTTTAACTAACTGGACTTTTTAAAAAATTGAAGCAAAAAAATAAAAATAGAAAAGAAAGAAAAGAAAAGAAAAGAAAAAATTGAAGCTTAGGAGCTCCCAAATTGTCGTGATCAATCTACAAACCAAGGATTTCTAGGATGTGGACCGTGTTCCTGGGGTCTGCAAAGGCCCCGCCTGGAACCTGATGTAGGACTTAGCCTGGCACCAGAGGAAGGGGCCAGCGCTCCAGGGTACCCTCAGGGCCGTAGGGCAGCAGGTGGGAGAGGAGAGCTTGCCTAGCACACTTACCCTGGCTCCTTCCTGGGTCTCTCGGCAGCTGTCCCTCGACAAGGAGCTCATTGACTTTGGCAGCTATGTGGTGGGGGAGACCACGTCCCGGATCATCACACTGACCAACATCGGGGGCTTGGGCACCAGGTTCAAGTTTGTTCGGGCCTCAGAGTCCTATGAGATGGACCTCTCCCAGTCAGTCATGAAAATAGTAAGTATATTGCCTGTCCTGATCATGAGCCGTGGCTGCTCACCCAGGGGAAGGCATGAGGCCTCCTTGCACCCCACACAGTCCTGTGAGTATAAAACTAACATGACAGGAGTCTGTCAACATAGGGCTGGGTGTCGTCAGGCAGAGTGGGAGAGACTGGGCTCCGTGAGAGGACACCTAGAGCCACAGTGACCCCACTGGAGTGTGTGGTGGCTGATAGGGTGGTGGCTGAGAGCCACAGGGGACCACCTTTCTCCTGGTGCACCTATGAAGTCCCAGCAGGAGGCTGGCCAAGAGGACACGGCCTGAACACCGCAGGCAAACCCTGCCCACTCCTGCACCTTTTCCAAAGGTGTGAGGTGAGCAATGGTCTTTTCATGGGAAGGCCATGCAGACATGCTGCTAAGTGATTGAGAACAACCTCAGAGCAACACTGTGTGCCCCTATCTGTGGAAACAACTTCCGTCACACTCAGTGGACACTGGGAGGTCTTTTGGGGGCAAGGATGGGTGAGAGAAACTTCCTGTAAGAAGAACTGAGCTACTTCACAGTTTGGTCTACTTATTAAGGGCTCTTAGCAAAGGCCTCAGAAGTATCTCCCCCAGAGGGGACAGAGGACCAGTGGGGTAGGGGCAGGGGTGGTAGGGGTGGGGGTGTAAACCCAGAACACGGCCAGGGCAATGGTGGGTGAGGAGAGGGGTGCAGGCTGGGTCAGCCCTTAGGCCTGCAGGCGTCTGAACTGAAGCCAGGAGAATGGAGCTGGGGCCTGGGGCTCCGATCCCACAGGGGGATTGGGACCAGGCATCCCAAGACAGGAGGGTAGAGCGTCAATGTGGACAAGGAAGAGCCAGCCTGGGCTAGAGACAAGCGAGGCAGGGTTGGGCCCTGAGCCCCTGGGCCAGCTGCTGCCCTGATCTGCATGCTTGGCTCAGGTGGGAGAGGGAGCCAAGGAGGATGATTGTGGCTAGGCTCTCCATGTGGCCCTCCTGGCAACAGAGGTCTGGGCAGTTGAGTGGGAAAGGCAAATGGAAAACTGCTAGTAAAAGTGTTGTGTTCCCTTTTCAGAGCAGTCTGTTCACATATGAAGATAAAGGTTCTTACGAAAAAATCATCATCAGCCCTTCTGAGCAACAGATGGAGGGCAATGAGTCCTCTCCCTTTGACATGCAAAGCCAGCAGGAGTCTGGGAAGCCAGACAACAAGGAGCAGGAAGAAGGATGCCCCACAGGTGAGCTGGACCCAGCGGGGGGTGGGGGGCAGACTCCTGGGAGCACCTGGAGCACTTGCTGCCTCCCAGGAGGCTCTGATGAGCCCCCGGGGGTGCCAGAGGGCAGGACTGTATGGTATTTTTCTAGGGCTTTGACATTAATCAGGAAATAGATACATTCAAACAAATACTGGTTGTGGAGTGGATTGAAATTTGCAGTCACAGTTAAGCTAACAGGGTATTTATAGGAACCCAACTTTGGACCACCAGGCTTGGGGGTCCTTGTTGGTACAGTTGAGGAGCCCTGCCCTCAGTGGGGCAGCAGCAGGACAAAGGAGGAAGAGAGGGAAGGGAGGACTGGGAAGTTCTACTGACAGGGTCTTGGGGGGCTGGGGTGTCTTGGCCCCCTCCCCAGCTTTGCCAATAGAGAGGGCAGTGAGGGCAGTCCACAGAAGAGTCAGGAAACAGGCAGCCCCCCTAGTCCCAAGCCCCAGGCACAGAAGGAAGAGCATTCCCCCAGGCCCGGCCTCACCCTGACATGCCCCCTTCTGCTCCAGCGACTGCTCCTGGGACTGTCCCCGTCCCTTTCTGCCTCCCCGTTCCTTTGGTTTCCCCTTCAACACACATCCAGGAGTGGCAGGCTTTGTCCTGTTTCAGCCACTTACACACAGAAGCCGAGCAGTCAGTCCCGTTGCTCAGGCTGCTCTGTGAGCTGTTCTTCCTGTCTCCGCCGCTGTGTGGCGTCTGCTTTCACAAACACACCTTGAGTCACAAACCAGCTGCAGCCCAGTCTCATGTGGGGTCTCAGGGTGTGCCAGACACCACCCCTTGTGCATTTGCGTCTGCAAGGCTCACCTGCCGCATTCTTGCCGTCTCTCCTTTATTGGCTAATGTTAAGTTCTTTTTCAACATGATTGTGCCAATTCAGACTCCCTCCAGCACCCAGCACAGCTGCCAGCAGCCTCTGGACATGTGAGGGCATTTCGGTGGAAATGGACAGCTGATTCTAAAATTCGTATGGAAACCCAGAGGACCTAAAATATCTAAAACAGTTTTGAGGGATCCCTGGGTGGCTCAGCGGTTTAGCACCTGCCTTCGGCCCAGGGCGTGATCCTGGAGTCCTGAGATCGAGTCCCACATCAGGCTCTCTGCATGGAGCCTGCTTCTCCCTCTGCCTGTGTCTCTGCCTCTCTCTCTCTCTGCGTGTGTCTCTAATGAATAAACAAAATATTTTTTAAAAAAACAGTTTTGAAAAAGAAGAACAAAGTTGGAAGACGCAGACTACCTGATTTCAAGACTTGCTCTAAAGCTACAGTGACGAGACAGTGTGGTGTTGGCAAAGGGAGAGACACAGACACTCGATGGGGCAGAACAGAGTCCAAAAATAGACCTGCACAAATATGGCTAATCAATCTTCTTTAGAGATGCAAATGTAATTCCTTGGAGAACAAAACAGTCTTTTAAACAAATGAGACCTTAGCAATTACATAAACATATGCTAAAAAACTAACCTCCATCCATTCCTCACATTGTACACAAATACTACTCAAGATAAATCATAGACCTAAATGTAAAATCTAAAACCATAAAACTTCTAAAACAAAGCATAGAGGAAAAGTCCATGTCATCATGTGTTGGGCAAAGATTTTTTAGATATGACATTAAAAGTATGATCCATTTTTTAAATATTATAACCTGCTTTGGGATGCAGCAAAAGCAGTTCTAAGAGGGAAATGTAGCACTACGGGCCTACCTCCAGAAGCAAGAAAAGTCTCCTTATACCTAAACGTATACCTAAAGGAGCTAGAAAAAGAAGAACAAACAAAGCCCAAACCCAGGAAAAGGAAAAAAATAAAATAAAAGAGCAGAAGCAAATAATATAGAAACTTCACACACACACACACAGTAGGACACATCAATGAAATCAGGAGCTAGTTCTTTGAAAAGATCAACAAAATTAAGAAACCTCTAGCCAGACTCATTGAGAGAAGACAGAGACAAAGAGAAAGGATTCAAATAAATAAAATCACTAATGAAAGTGGAGACATAACAATCAACACCACAGAAATTCAAACAATTATAACAATATTATGAAAACCTACATGCCAACAAATTGAACAACCTGGGAGAAATGGATAAATTCCTAAAGCAGGAAAAAATAGAAAATTTGAAGAAATTATCAGCAATGAATGGAATCAGTAATCAAAAAACTCCCAACAAACAAAAGTCCAGGACCAGATAGCTTCCCAGGTGATTTCTACCAAACATTAAAAGAAGAGTTACTGCTTATTCTTCTTAAACTATTGTGAAAAAAAACAGAAAAGGAAGGAAAACTGCCAAATTCATCCCATAAGGCCAGCATTACCCTGATACCAAAACCAGATAGAGACACCACAAAGAAAGGGAACTATAGGCCCATATCCCTGGTGAAAGTATATGGAAAAATCCTCAACAAAATATCAGCAAACCGAATCCAACAATGCATTAGAATCACTCACCATGACCAAATGGGATTTATTCCTAGGATGCAAGGGTGGTTCAATATCCGCAAATAATCAACATGATATGTCATATCAATATAAGAAAGGATAATAACCATATGATCATTTCAATAGATACAGAAAAAGCATTTGATAAAGTACAACATCCATTAATGATAAATATTAAAAAAAAAAAACCTCTGCAAAGTAGGGTCAGAAGGAGTATACTTCAACATGACAAAGGCCTTATGTGAAGAAATCTACAACCACATCATACTCAGTGATAGAAAACTGAGAGCTATTTCCCTAAGGTCAGGAATAGGACAAGAATGTCTACTCTCACCACTTTTAATCAACTTAGTACTGGAAGTCCTAGCCTCAGCAATAAGATAAGTAAAAGAAATAAAGGGACGCCTGGGTGGCTCAGCAATTGAGCATCTGCCTTTGGCTCAGAGCCTGATCCCAAATTCCCAGGATCGAGTCCCTCATCAGGCTCCTTACATGGAGCCTGCTTCTCCTCCCTCTGCCTGTGTCTCTGCCTCTCTTTCTGTGTCTCTCATAAATAAAATCTTTAAAAAAAAAGGAATAAAAAGCATCCAAATTGGTAAGGAAAACGTAAAACTTTCATTATTTGTAAATGACATACTACTATATGTAGAAAACCCTAAAGACTCCACCAAAAAACTGCTAGAAGTGATAAATGAATTCAGTAAGATCACAGGATACAAATTCAATGTACAGAAATTTGTTGCATTCCTTTTTTTTTAATGATTTTATTTATTTATTCATGAGAGACAGAGAGAAGCAGAGACACAGGCAGAGGGAGAAGCAGGCTCCCTATGGGGAGCCCAATGCGGTACTTGATCCCAGGACCTGAGGCAAAGGCAGATGCTCAACCACTGAGCCATCCAGGTGCCCCTGTTGTATTCCTAACACTAATAATGAACTAACAAAAAGAAAAATTAAGAAAACAATCCCATTTATAATTGCACCAAAACCAATAAAATATCTAGGAATAATGTTAACCAGAGGTGAAAGACCTATACTCTGAAAACTATACAACACTGATGAAAGAAATTCAGGATGTCACAAAGAAATGGAAAGACATTCCATGCTCATGGATTGAAAGAACAAATATTGTTAAAATGTCTATATTACCCAAGCAATCTACATATTTAATGTAATCCCTATCAAAATACCAACAGCAAAAAACAAACAAACAAAAAATACCAACAGCATTTTTCACAGAGTTAGAACTCAATGCAGAACAGAGTCCAAAAATAGACCTGCACGATCCTGTGATAATCCTAAAATTTGTGTGAAACCGCAAAAGATCCTGAAGTTGGCCAAAGCAATCTTGAAAAAGAAAAACAAAACTGGAAATATCACAATTCCAGATTTCAAGTTATATTATAAAATGGCAGTAATTAAAACAGCATGATACTGGCACAAAAATAGACACAGAATAGAAAGTCCAAAAACGAACCCACAATTATATGGTCAGTTAATCTTCAACAAAGGGGAAAGAATATCCAATGGGAAAAAGACTCTTCAACAAATGGTGCTGGGAAAACTTGACAGCTACATACAAAAGAATGAAACTGGACCACTTTCTTACACCATAAAAATAAACTCAAAATATATTAAGGACCTAAATGTGAGGTGTGGAACCATCAAAATCCTAGAAGAGAGCACAGGCAGTAACCTCTTTGACATCAACCATAACAACATTTTTCTAGATGTGTCTCCTGAGGCAAGGGAAACAAAAGCAAAAATAAACTATTGGGACTACATCAAAATAAAAAGCTTCTGCGCAGCAAAGGAAACAATCAACAAAACTAAAAAAATAATTTCTCCCTATGAAATGGGAGAAAAAAAAGAAAGAAATGGGAGAAAATATTTGTAAATGACATATCTAATAAAGGGCTAGTATCTAAAATATATAAAGAACTGAAAAAAAAAGAACTGACACAACACCCAAAAGACAAATAATCCAATTTTTAAAATGGGCAGAAGACATGAACAGACATTTCTCCAAAGAAGATATCCAAATGGCCAACAGACACGTGAAAAGATGGTCAGCATCACTCATCATCAGAGAAATGCAGATCAAAACCACAATGAGAGATCCCCTCACATCTGTCAGAATGGCTAAAATCAGCAACACAAGAAACAACAGGTGTTGGTGAGGATGTGGAGAAAGGGGAGCCCTCCTGCATTATTAGTGTGAACGCAAGTTGGTGCAGCCACTCTGGAAAACAGTATGGAGGTTCCTCAAAAAGTTAAAAATAAACTACCCTGTGATCCAGCAATTGCACTACTAGATATTTACCAAAGAATATGAAAATACTAATTCAAAGGGATACATGCACCCCTGTGTTTATAGCAGCATTATCTATAATAGCAAATCATGGAAGCAGCCAAAGTACCCATCAATAGATAGATAAAGTCATGGTATATACAATAGAATATTAGTCATAAGATAGAATGAAATCTTGCCATTTGCAATGACATGGATGGACCTAGAGAGTATTATGCTAAGTGAAATAAGTCAAGGAAAGACATATATCATGATCTCACTCATATGTGAAATTTAAGGAAGGGCATCCCTGGGTGGCTCAGAGGTTTAACGCCTGCCTTCAGCCCAGGGTGTGATCCTGGAGTCCTGTGATCGAGTCCCACATCAGGCTCCCTGCATGGAGCCTGCTTCTCTCTGCCTGTGTCTCTGCCTCTCTCTATCTGTCTGTGTCTCTCATGAATAAATAAATAAATTATTTTTTCAAATTTTAAGGAAAAAATGAGCAAAGGAAAAAAGAGAGAGGCAAACCAAGAAATAGACTCTTAACTATAGAGAACACACTGAGCATCACCAGAGGTGGGGGTCATGGGTCAAATAGGGGATGGGGCTGAAGGAGCACACTTGTCATGATGAAATAATAATAATAAAAAATTATATCTGGAATTCATCAAAACTAAAAACATCTCTTCTAAAGATAATGCTAAGAGAATAAAAAGGTAAGATATGGCTTGGTAGAAAATACTAGGAAAATACACGTTTGATAAAGAACAGACCCAAAATATGTAAAGAACTTTCAAAACTTGATTAGAAAACAACCCAGTTTAAAAATGGGCAAAAAGGGTACGTGGAGGGTTCAGTTAGTTAAGGATCTGACTCTTGGTTTCAGCTCAAGTCATGATCCAGGGTCATGGGACTGAGCCCCACATCGGGCTCTGTGCTCAGTGTGAGTGTGGAGTCTGCTTGAGAGTCTCTCTCTCCCTATCTCCCTTCGCCCCTTTCCTGCACTTTCTCTCTCTCAATCTCTCATAAGTAAGTAGTAAGTAAATAAATAAATAAATAAATAAATAAATAAATAAATAACTTTTCAAAAAATAGGCAAGGATGCCTGGGTGGCTCAGCAGTTGAGCGTCTGTCTTCAGCTCAGAGCATGATCCTAGAGTCCCAGGATCGGTCCCCACATCAGCCTCCTTGCAGGAAGCCTGCTTCTCCCTCTGCCTATATCTCTGCCTCTCTCTCTGTGTATCTCTCATAAATTAAAAAAAAAAAATGGGCAAAAATCCTAGACATTTTACCAAAGATTTGTTGACAGTATTTCAGCACACGAAAAGATGCTCAGCATCACTAGACGTGAAGGAATTGCAAATTAAAACCACAGTGGAGGGCAGCCCGGGTGGCTCAGCGGTTTAGCACCGCCTACAGCCCAGGGCGTGATCCTGGAGCCCCGGGATCGAGTCCCACGTCAGGCTCCCTGCATGGAGCCTGCTTCTCCCTCTGCCTGTGTCTCTGTCTCTGTCTCTCTCTCTCTCTCGATTAAATAAATAAAACTTAAAAAAAAACAGCTAACGTTCAAAATAAAATAAATAAAATAAAATAAAATAAACCACAGTGGAGGGACACCTGAATGGCTCAGTGGTTGAGCGTCTGCCTTTGGCTCAGCACAATCCCAGGAGCCTGGAATCAAATTCCGCATCGAGCTCCCCTCAGGGAGCCCGCTTCTCCCTCTGCCTATGTCTCTGCCTCTGTGTGTGTGTGTCTCTCATGAATAAATAAATAAAATCTTTTTAAAAATAAATAAAACCACAGTGCATGTCCACTACACACCTATTAAGACAGCTAGATCAAAACCAAAAAAAAAAAAAGGGCAACCTGGGTGGCTCAGTGGTTTAGCACCGCCTTCAGGCCAGGGCATAATCCTGGAGACCCGGGATCGAGTCCCACATGGGGCTCCCTGCATGGAGCCTGCTTCTCCCTCTGCCTGTGTCTCTGCCTCTCTCCCTCTCTCTCTCTCTCTTGCTCTCTGTGTCTCTCCTAAATAAATAAAATATTTTTAAAAAGAAAGAAAGAAAAAAGAAAAAAAAGACAAAGAGCTGGCAACACCAAGCATTGGTGAGAAGTGACTGTAATCCCATCCTCTGCTACTGGATATGCAGCAACTTTGGAAGAGTTCAGCATTTTCTTACCAAGTAAGCAAACATCAAACAACCCAGAAACCCCACTCCTAGGTATTTACCAAGAGAAATGGAAAACTATAATGGAACGGAAAATTGTACGTGAATGTTTACAGAGGGTTTATGTATAACTGCAGACGGCTGCTGACTAGTGCACAGACATGGTGACACGGCCCTGCCGCACGAGGGAGTGAGTTAGTGATGCATACCACGACATGCATGAATCAGAAAGGCATCAATGGTCAGGGAAAGGTCAGGCTCAAAAAACCACAAACCATGAATCCATTTATGTGACATTCTGGGAAAGGCAAAATGATATAGATGAGTGGTTCTCAGGAACTGGGGGAGGGATTGGCTACAAAGGGGTATCGGGGGGCTCAGGGGTAATGGAACTGTTCCATATCTCGATCCTGGTGGCCACTATACACTATGCATTTGTCAAGGCTATGCTGAAAGGGGTGAATTTTACTGCATGTGAATTATTCCTTCATAAAAGAGGTGGAAATCACTCAATACACATAAGCAGCAGAGCACTGTCATCTTGCATGTTTCAGATACTGGTATCATCAGATGCTGAACAGAAAACAAGCATACTCACTCAATGCATGGAAAACCATCCTGAAGGATGAGATGAAGCTGGTTTGAAAATGAACCAAGTAAAACTTCTAGAAGTGAGAATGTGGTCATTGTAACTGGAACCCCAGTCAGTAGGATGAACTGTAGAGAGACACCATGGAGGAGAGACCCAGGAATGTTCTCACCGCAGATAAAGGGCCAGAGCTGGAAACATGAAAGAATGTACATGCCATGGAGGACAGAGGGAGGAGGTCTCATCGGTCTGCTCGAGGCCAGAAACGTCGTATTTAGCAACATGCTTGCTGAGAATTTTCTAGAATGTCGAAACACATGTAAACTGATATCCTGGAAGTGAGTAAATATCCACTCTATGCTGATAGCACAGAACAGCATTGGATGCATGATTAAAGAAAGCTTTCATTAATGAGCCTGATTCTAGAATTTATGAAAGCTCACCATGTTTTTAGCCAATGGCTCGACACAGTTCCACACTGGGGCACCAAGAGACCCCAAGCACCATCCACACAGAACAAAGAGCTGCCCCTAGAGTCTGCCTGGCTTCAGGTCCGAACTGTACACCTGAAGCAGACAAGGACATACGCATCACCATGGGGGCAGTCAGCTGCCCCCCCATCCAGGTGACAGTGTGACCACTGAGTGGGGTGACAGGTGTGCCAAATGGGAGGAGCCCAGATCAGTCCCAGGCCCCAGAGATAGTGCACACCATCCTGTAGGGTAACAGTCCAGCCTCACGGGGCACATGACACCATGTCAGGTGCAGGGCCCAGGACAGGCTGCCACAGAGCTCCAGGGCTCCACGCAGTAGCCAGGCCAGGCCGTCCAAGACAGGAGGACTCGGAAGGGTGCCAACCTTCACCTCTCCCGTAAGTTCTGTCTTCATGAGCAAAGTCCACAGAAAGACCTTCTTAGACCAGAGGAATCAGCCTCTGCTTCCAGGGGCCTTCCTGACACGTGGCCAAGGGATGGGAACACACCAGCTGCACACACGCAGATAAAACTAAATAATAGGGGTTAGGCTGGGACATTTGGGGGGCAATACCATTGTCAACTTCCAGACCTTGGTCCCTCTGCTCCCTGGGCCTGGAAATGCCTCCACCCCCAGGCTGCATGTCAGCCCCTCCCCACTCCCTCTGCAGCAGCCCTCCTCTCTGCTGGACCTCCCTGTTTCTCCTCTGAATAGGAGACCCCTGTGAGCACACTCCCCAATCCCCTGACCCCCAAAGGGCCAGCTTGCTCTGTTTTCTCCAGCCCTGACCTTCAGGCCACGGCACCCCACTGGTCATGCACAGCCAGCTCCCCTCACCTACCTGACCTCCCCTAGCTAGGGCCTTGCAGCTCTAGCCATCTTGCCCACCCCCAGCCTCCAGCGCCAGAGGCCATGGTGCCCACTGTCTTTGTCCCCCTGAGAAGCCCCGCTCTGCCCCTCCTGTGTCACTAGGTCTTTCCTCTTTGCAGAGCAGCACCAGAGAGAGGGAGCTGGCTGGGAGCTGGTGGTCCTGGAGATGGAGGGGCTAGATCCCCCTGGCACCCCAGCTCACCCCTGGGCCCCACGGGCTACCTGGCCAGACCTCTCATCTGGACGCCCTTCTTTTCCAGAATCAGAGGGAGTGACCATGACCACTGTCATGACCATACCCCCCAGTGAGGAACAAATGGAGATCTCGCTGGGAGAGGTGAGCAAGGCCTACTGCTTCCCAGTCCACCTTCCTCCAGCCATGCATCCCTGACCTGCTACCCCTCCTCCAGGTTGCCCTTCCACTGGGCCAGACCTAGTTCGTCTGAACGCACAGCCTTCAGGCAGCTTGCGCTATCAACTGGCCTGTGGCCACCCCCATCCCAAGTTGAGTCCAGGCCAGCAGCAGGGACAGCGTCCTGGATACAAGGCACTGGGTCGCCCTCCGAGAAAACATGGTCAGGGCCTCCCTGGCTGGAGCATGGTATGTGTGTGTGCATGCATGCGTCAGTGTGTGCACATGTGTGTGCATGTGTATGTGTGTGTGCATGCACATACACAAGGGCCCTAAGTCATCAAGAGAGCAAGTACACACACTTGGAGCATCCCAAGAAGGGTTAAGCTGTGATGCTGGGCAGTGAGCAGTGAACCCTCGAAGGGCAGGGCCAGGCCACCCAGGGACACTCACACTCATGGTGACCAGCACCTCATGCTGGTGAAGACAGGGGGAGGTGCCCTGATAGAAATGTGAAGCCTGACTGGGTCTGTGGCATCTCTTCCCTCTCAGGTGACGGAGGGTGAAATTGGCCCCTTCAGCTCCATCAAGGTACCAGTCATCTTCACACCAGTCACCCCAGGAGCCATCCACAGCATGTTCAAGGTCATGTTTAAGAATCAGCAGTGCCCAACTGTGAGTGCCCCACTGCCACTTCCTGCCTTCCTCACTGCAGCCCAGGCTGTCCCTGGGCCGCGGGATCCCTGCCCTCTGTGCTCCCCCCACCACAGCCCTGTGAGGCAGCTGCCTGTGCTATCCACGCCTAGACAGCCAGTTGGTAGCACAGATGGTTAGCACCATAGCCAACACACACACGAACATGCCTTTGCATGCACATCTGTGCACACACGGAGTCCTTGCTCTTAATTACTGGAAATGCCTCTCCAAATTTCCAAATACTTAAAGTTTTTGCTCATTACTTTTTATCATGTATTTATTAACTTACTTATAGGTTTATTAAATTTTGCTCCAAGAACATGATCTGCAAACTCTGGTTCTTTTAAATTTGTTGAAATGTCTATTGTGACCAAAGGCAAACTGAGTTTATCGATGTAATGTGTGCACGTATGTGTAAAGGCTGCATACAAATTCCTGAACTGAATGATTCACATTATTCACGGCCTCCCCATGCCGTTCCCTAGCACTCAGCCTGCAGTCTTCTGGTCTCTGCCCCAGGGACCCTGTGACCTGGGGTCTGCTGGCTGGGCCGTCCTATGTGTCACATGTCCTGCAAGTCCTGGGCTCCATGGCCCCCATCCCAGGCCAGGGGTCCTGGAGGAAGGCCCATGGAATCCTCAGCTCACCACTGTAACACCAGGATGGTGCCTCCCCTGCTAGGCCCCTGCCTGGCTCAAGAGGGGCTGCTGGGCATCAGCTGTCCCTTCAGGACACCCACACACCCCCAAACCTCCTGAGACCCGGACTCAGGGTTTGACTGGGAGGAGCCAGTGGCCATGGAAGGGAGAGAAGTGGTTCCCTCTCTCCCTGGTCCCCCCGAGACCTCTGAGCCTCCATTCTGTATTTGCTGGGAAAGTTTTATAAAGCATACATCTCTCTGTGAGACATGTTATTCCGTAATGAAAGCGGTTTTTTAAACAGCTAAAGATGTGGATAATCATGAAGCTGTGTGATGGGTACATGACAATCCATTGTGCTGTTCTTTTTATGTTTGAACATTTTGATAATAGAAAGGATTGTTTAAACTGTATGATATGAAAACTGTCTCAGACCCCAAAACATGGCTGGTTTGATCAGTGACCTTCCAATACTGGTATGAGTTACAAACATCCTGCAGCTGGGTGGTGTTAGTGCTCACCGTCATTGCCCACTTTGCCAACAGAAGTGTGTGTTACTGACTTTTCACCTTCAAACTCAGTTGTATTTCAGAGTCATGGGCGTTGCTATGGACGTGCCCGTCTGGGTACCAAAACCCAACGTAGATCTGAAGATATGCATGTATGACCGGCTATACCAAGACTCTGTCCTTGTGCATACACGGTGAGCCCGGGTCCCACGCTGCCACTCAGCTGAGGACCTGAGGAGTTGACTCTCAGGGTCCAGCCTACGAGGGGTGGCAGGGCCAGAGTCAGGCACAGAGGGAATTGGATGGGCACATGGAGGTGGGGCCTCTAGACCCCAGGAAGGGCCAGGAAAGGGATGCTCCCAGAGCCTCAGTAGGAAGCAGCCCCACCTGCAGCTAGACATTAGCTCAGTGGGATCCATCTCTGGTTCTGACCTCTTTACTCTAGGAGAGTAAGTCTGGGTGGCTCCAGCAACAAGGGGATGCTCACCCCTCCACACCCAGGTACTTGGTGCATCATAAACACAGACAGGAAAACAAGGAGTGAGGCCATGTGGACAAACCCCTGAGGAAAGAAGCACGTTCTATCTGTGGGGTTTTGCAAAGACATCCAGGCTCCAGAGTAGTCACTCCTAAAAACTTAGTCACTCCTAAAAACGTTTTACTAAAGTACAACTTAGGTGGAGACAAGTAGGCAAATGCCGTGGTTGGTGCTGTGGGGGGACGCTTGCTCCCCACAGGCCTGGTGCTGGCATCTGCTGATGCAGGGAGGGTGGGGAGGGGGCAGGGGCTTCATGGGCCCTGCTGCCAGTGCAGAAGTGGTTCACAGATGTGCGGGGCCTACAGACTTCCTTTGTGACCATGCTGGTGGAGGGGCTTGCCTGTCTCAGTGCCAGGATCACACACATCAGGGGACTTGAGAGGGGCCCCCCTGAACTTGTGTGTGGAACTAGTGCTAGCCGGCCTCTGCCAGTCAGTTTATATCAGGACGGTGGTGCAGCTACCTTTGGGGGGGTTGCTGAGGGGGGCATCCCTGGGCCTATGAGGTAGGTGAAGACCCCAGCTGCACACTCAGGGTGTGAGTACATGTATGTGCGTGCGTGAGCTTGCAAGGGCATGTGTTTGTGACACAGTCGGCCAGGTCACTTGGCTTTGTGGAGACTCAAATGCAGGCAAGGGAGTGGGGGAGCTTCCTGGTGGAAATAGGGAAGGTTCCAGCTGAACCCAGATGGAAGGGGGTGGGGGTTCGGGGCTTGGGTGCAGGGAGCAAGAGGCACTAACTAGTCTCCTGTGATTGGTGGGGCCCACGCTACCTCCTTTGACAGCTCTGGACTTGGAGGTGGGGACAAAGCCAAGGCTAGGTGCCCCAGGCCTATGGGGCCCAGCCCCTCCCCAGCCCCCACACTCCTTCAGGCCCCCACACTTTGCACAGTCTGCCCAGAAAACACTCAGGTTTCTGAGAACCAATGGGGCCATATTTCCATGGCAGAGTTTCTGTTTGTAGGAACCCCTCATGAGGAAGGCTGCCCCTCAGTCCCTGAGCAAGCAGGGTGGTTAACCTTCACTGGCACTTGGCCTGGTACGAGCGCCAGGGGTGTGCAGGAGCAGACGCGGGAACAGATCCACAGCGTTGCTGTCTGATGTCCCCCGGCATCCTGCAGGTCAAAAGCGGCCCTGCGTCTGAAGTTTGAAGTGTGCAAGGAGCTGCGGGAGCATGTGGAGCTCCTGCCGGAGACAGGCTACATCCAGGCCCAGTCCTCCTATGCCGTGCAGCTCAAGTTCCTGCCGCGGTGCGTGCCTGGGGGCTGCAGGGCAGGGAGGCTGCAGGCAGTGCCTCTCCTGCCTCTCGCATGTCCTACTTTGCCTACCACTTCTACCTCCTGTGTGACCCCAAAGCACCACTCACAGGTCAGTTTTATTGTCGTCCTTCAAGTATAAAGAAGAAAAGTACTTTTGAGTGTGTCCTGTCTCTTTCAGACACTCCCTCCCAGAAGATGCAGGGAAGTATTTCGACAAGGAAAGCAGAGTCCTGGAGGCCCCGATGACAATACGGGTGGCTGACCAGGTCTGCATGGGACACTTCCTGGGAACGTGGGGCACTCTTGGGGACCTGAGCACCACCCCCCAGAAGGCAGGGCCCTGGTGGGTCCCGGAGGCCTGACCCCAGCATCCCCTACACAGTGGGAATGAAGGCAGGGTGTTTGTGGATCAAGGACAGATCCTGGAGAGCTGGGCAGGGCTGGGGGGCGTCCCCCTGGCTCCAGAACCCACTTGTGCCCACGTGCCCACTCACAGTGTGTGCACACCTGTGCACCTGCACTTACACACCCCCATGCCTCGCCTAACCGGGGTTACTCCCCTCTTCGTTGGCACCTGCCTTCCTATCCTCCCAAGTCAGCAACTACAGGAAGGTGGCCTTTTCCTTTTTTTTTTTTTTTTTAAGATTTTATTTATTTATTCATGAGAGAGAGAGAGAGGCAGAGACACAGGCAGACGGAGAAGCAGGCTCCATGCAGAGAGCCCCTCGTGGGACTCTATCCTGGGTCTCCAGGATCACACCCTGGCCTGAAGGTGGCGCTAAACTGCTGAGCCACCCGGGCTGCCCAAGATGGCCTTTTCCAAAAAAGTCCTGTGTCTGGCCACCAGGTCGAAGCAATGCTTCTGCCTTTCTTGTGAGTGGAGACATTTGCGAAATGGACTGCGAGTAACCAGGTTGCCCTCACCCTGTGCACTTCAGATCAAGCCAGTGGGGTTTACCTTGCATGCTGTGGTCACCACCTCAGACCTGCAGCTCAGCCCCTCAGCAGTGGACTTTGGTTACTGTACCATCTATGAGGCCATCAGGACACAAGTCAGCCTCTACAACCACTCCCTCCTGCCCCAGGGCTTTGGGTTCGTCGGGCTCCCCAAGGTACCTCGCTTGGTCAGGGAAGGTCACAGGGTGTGGGGACAGAGTCAGGAAGCTCTGGGGGTGGGCCAGGGCAGTGCTGCCCCAGGGTCTGGATGCCCAGCACCAGGAGGTCTCAGCCCTCCCCAGCCCTCATGCCCTCCTATCCCCTCATCATCCCCACCGTCCATATCCCCAGCCTTTGTCTCCCCCTCTCTGGCCTGCCCCAGTAGGACTCAAGACTCCTTTCCCTCCCTTCCTGCCTGGCCTTGCAGGATAGCCAAGATGGGACTCAGACCAGGCCGCCCTCAATTCTCCCTGGGCCGCTCCACCGCCAACCCTGCCATCCACTTACATACATGCAGACATGTGTACAAACGCACCAACATAATGCACACACTCACATGCAAGTGCTCATATATGTGCCAACACTCACAAAGACACACCATACATAGACACATAAACAAATCACACACACGATTGCACACATACAGACGTGCTCACTGCTGGCACTCACATACACACAAGCACGCGCGCATACATGCAGATACTCATGTACACCCACTCGTACACACAGACACCCACACACTCACATTCGCACACACACTCACATGCCCTCATACCCACTCACACACACTGCCACACACATGTCCATGCAGCTCCCAGATAAGCCCCAGCAGATCACCGTTTTCACTTTGGTATTAATGGTTTTCCATTTGCTAGTTTGTGGACATCCAACCCAACGATGGGTTTGGGACAATCCTACCGCTAGAAACACTGCAACTTGACGTGATCTTCCAACCCACCAAGGCCAAGGAGTACAGCTTCGAGCTCATCTGCAAGTCAGAGATTAACCGGTAAGCCTGGCAGGCAAGGGGCGTGGAGGGAGGGGGGCAGCTGGCTTAGGGGTGGCAGTGTGCACATGTGGATGTCTATGGGTTGTGCATGTGTGGGCATGTGTGTGTGAGCATGTGATTACGCATGTGTGAACATGTACATGTGGTGTGCAGAGGATCTGGACATGAGCCCCACTTGCTCTGATCACACTATGTGACAGGGACAGTCCCAATTCTATCCTGACAGATGGGACAGAGGAGGTGGTAGATAGAAAAGTCAAACAGGATGCAGAGGGGGTGGTCTGGGATAAGGGGCCGATTCTTGTTGCTCCCCAAGACTATCAGCCCCCGTGAGGCATGTTCTGGAGCATTCTGTGCAGGTGTCCAGCTGGGCACCAGGCCACCTCCCCAGTGAGCCCCACTGCCTACCCTCCTGCCCCCATTTCTCTTCCTCTCTCCTGTTCCCACCTGCATTCCAGCCTGAGTTGCTGTTTGGCCCTGGGTGGGCCTAGCCCCCTTGTTGCCCCGGACACGTGGCCGCCTGGGATCCAACAGGTGGGCAAGCAGGAATGAGTACCCGTGTGGTAAGAGTTTAGGGAGTGAAGTGCAGAGTTAGAACCCACAAACATAGTCAAGGGCCTTGGCTACCCACCTGCCACGTCCCCCATTAGGGTCTTAGGTAAAACCCACTGCCTCCCATCATAAGAACTGCAGCCTCTGGCAAGTCTCACTGGAGCCTTGTTGACACCTCCCTGAAAGAGTGGGGGACTTCTGGTTCTTCTTTGCAACAAAATGAAGGAGTGCTTAAGTGAGTGGCCAGAGGGGAGCTACTCAAAAATAACACTGGAAGGCGTGTTGCCTTGTGCTGTGGGGCATAAGGAGAGATTCAAAGGGTTGAGTGACTCTGGGGGACAAAGCTTCATCCACACCATCCCAGGGCCCTCCAGGGAAGCCCAGCAACACCTCCACCCACAGTCGCGCCACTCCCAGATGCTGGAACCAGCTGGGAAACAGAGGTCGTCCACCATCCTGAAACATGTCCAGTGAAATCTCTGTGATGATTATCACAGTTCATACATTTATGGCCTTTCAATTAATCCCATACTAATAATAACCTCAAAGATATTTCCACCTACAAGGATTTTTTTTCCCCACATTTAGAGCCTGTGGTCACAGGACATAAAAATATATATTTTAGTACTTCAGTGTGTGAGCAACATTACCTTCACAGTCAGGTAGGATGGGGCCATCCACATCAGAGCGTTAAAGTGTCTGTAATTAGGATGAAATTTGACACGGATGGTGAAGTAGAAATCTGGGTTCAAAGAAGGTGTGGAATGAAAATATTCCAGTGGTTAAGATACCAATATCAGTTCTTTGTTTTCATACATTATCTTAATTCAAATACCAGGCTGGGGCAGCCCGGGTGGCTCAGTGGTTTAGTGCTGCCTTCAGCCCAGGGCCTGATCCTGGAGACCCGGGATCAAGTTCCATGACAGGCTCCCTGCATGGAGCCTGCTTCTCCCTCTGCCTGTGTCTCTGCCTCTCTGTGTGTGTGTGTCTCTCATGAATAAATTTAAAAAAAAAACAACAACAACAAATACCAGGCTGATCACAGATGGCCCAAGAACCCTCAAGTAGGGACGCCTGGGTGGCTCAGTGGTTGAGCATCTGCCCTTCAGCTCAGGGCCTGATTCTGGAATCCTGGGATTAAGTCCCACATCGGGCTTGCTGCATGGAGCCTGCTTCTCCCTCTGCCTGTGTATCTGCCTCTCTCTCTCTGTGTCTCTCATGAATAAATAAATAAAATCTTAAAAAAAAAATGTCAGGGATCCCTGGGTGGCGCAGTGGTTTGGCGCCTGCCTTTGGCCCAGGGCGCGATCCTGGAGACTCGGGATCAAATCCCACGTCGGGCTCCTGGTGCATGGAGCCTGCTTCTCTCTGCCTGTGTCTCTGCCTCTCTCTCTCTCACTGTGTGCCTATTATAAATAAATAAAAATTAAAAAAAAAATGTCAGAGCCAGTGGTGGCCAGTGGCCAGTAGCCTGGCCCACAGAACCACACACACCCCTCTCTGGCCTCCCAGCTGGCGGGCAGAGCTTCCCTTCCCCGAGCTGCTGGAAGCTGCCAGCAGAAGCAGCTTCACTACTGTGTCCTGGCTCTGAAGAGCTGCAGGTCAGCAGGGGTTGGAGACACCCTGGAAACTGGCCAAGTGCCAAAATGCACCTATGGAGGCGGCTCCCAGGCTTTGGGGAAGTTGCCTTGACACTCACCGATGCCTGGACCTTTCACAATGGGCTGCAGACGAACAGAGCCAAAGTTCCAGGACGAAAGCCCACCGTCACACATCTGCTCTTCTTCTCTAAAGAATAATGGCAGAAATGAACTCACTAGATGTTATAGATTTATAATGTATAGTTTTATAGATTCCTGTGTTTATAGATTTATAGATTCATAAGATTATAGATTTATAGATTCCTGTGCTTATATTTAAAGAGCAATTGATCCATTTTATTTTTATTTTTATTTATTTTTTTAACACTTTTTTAAAATTTTTATTTATGAAAGTCACACAGAGAGAGAGAGAGAGGCAGAGACATAGGCAGAGGGAGAAGCAGGCTCCATGCACCGGGAGCCTGACATGGGATACGATCCCAGGTCTCCAGGATCGTGCCCTGGGCCAAAGGCAGGCGCCAAACCGCTGCGCCACCCAGGGATCCCCCATTTTATTTTTAAATGTCAATGAATGTTTAACAAAATAAGCCAGAAATTACCTCCTCGGCAACTAGACATGCAATTTTTAGCTATCACTTTAAATGTGCACAGGGGTATGCAGTATTTTCAAAAGATGGTAAGATTCATTCATGAACAGTGAGCAAAATCTCTGCCAACTGCTGTCGTAGTCCTAGGCACTGTGCCCATGCAGGCCACCGTCTCCCTCAGAGGCCACCTTCCACAGCCCAGAGGGACCCCACGGACCGCACCCCCCCATGGACAGTGCCCTCCCTGATCCACCTGCCCTGGCCCTTCCAGGAGCTTCAAGCTGGCATGCCGGGCTGTGGGTATCCACCCGCCCCTGGAGCTGTCCCACTACCAGGTCAAGTTTGCAGCCACATCCCTGTACGACACATCCGTGGCCACCCTATACATCATCAACTCTCACGTGAGCATAAACTCACTGACCCACTCCGTGCCCCGCATTGGCTCAGAAGACGCCTTTCCCGTGGGGCCTACGTCCTTTGAGTTCCTGCTGCCTCCAGATGCACCCATCACCATCTCGCCCTCCGTGGGGACCGTGTCGCCAGGAAAGGCAGGTGTGGGCCTCACGGGTAGGCTTGGGGGGGGCCAGGGTTCTGCTGGGGTGCCTGGCTCTGAGACCACAGGGGTGGGGATGAGCTCTGACCCTCATCAGACCCAAGTAGGACCAAGGAAGTCTGCATAGCCCATGAGCATGGGTGGGGGAAGGAGGCCCAGCCCAGCCCCAGTCCCAGAGGCAGGGGCACCCAAGGGTGGCTGACCCCACAAGCACCTGCCGGGGGGTGCTAGCAGCTCAGACTTAGGGAGGACATGCAGACCCCTGGATCTCACAGCAGATGGACACAGAGGGCCTGGTTATCAGAAGTATAGGGTGTCTGTCCACTCCATGGACCCAATGTCCCACCTCTACCCCACATCTGCTTTGCCTGATGGAGCAGAAAGAACAGGGCTGGAGGCAGAGGTCCCTCTTAGCCAGTACCAGGGCCATCCAGCCTCCTGGAGCTTAGCTCTTTCCCTTCAAAAATGAGGGTGGCTGCTGCCAGGATGAGGTGAGGAGGGGCATGTGAGGGTCCTGAGGAGGCCTGGGCCCTGGCAGGGTTTCACTTTAGTGTGATCATTTAAAATGCATTTTATTAAATTTAGCAAAAACTCTTAAATACCAGTCCCCAAAGGGCATGTGGGGGTTGGCTTCTGTGTTCTCTCCCTTTCCCTGTTCCCTCTCCCCTGCCTCTGCCCTGCCCCCCACTGTGTGTGTACCTCTGCTGTACCAAGCAGTGAGGACACCTGGGAGTGACCCTTCCATGGGGCCCAGAACCTTCCTGCAGGCTGGTCACAGGGACAAGTTGGGGTGAAGAACTCACCCCCAAATCTTGATGGCTGAATGCAGTTTCCTTTCTCACGCACGCTTCTTGTGAGCTGAGGGTGGGGTCCTGGCCCATCAGGACCTCCATCATGGGCCCCCCACCCTGCATGGTAAGAGTGGACTTGACAGTCGTACGCTGTAACCTGCCTAGCCCCCGGGGGCAGGGGCACTGGTCAGGAAGCATCTCTCTGGAAAGGGCCCTCAGGAAGCTGAAATCCCACAGAGGTGCCAGAGGTGCCCTGCAAAGAGTGTCAGCATGACAGGGGGACATGCAGGGGAGGGAGGACTGAGGGACTTCAGTGGGTGCTGAGGAGGACGGGGCAGCAGGGGCCAGCTCTGCCCTCGGGGCTTCTCTCCCTTCAGAGGTGCCTGATCCAGGTGGCCTTCCGGCCTGTGCTGCCCAGTGAGCTGATTCGCCAGGAAGCCTTCCAGGCTCTGAACAAACAAGTGGAGGTCAAGTCGGTGCGTGGGGACTCCCAAGAGGAGGGGTACAGGGCACAGGGCAGGGGCTGTGGCCTCCCCCCAAATCCCGAGGCTGCAGGGGCCCAGGACAGCATGCTGGGAACACTGGGGGGACTTTGTGGAGCATTATGTGTCACCTGGCTTTAAGAGCATCTTCTCCCTCAACAGCATCACCAGGAAGGCTAGGTCCCGGGGGGCAGTCTTGGAACGGGGTAGGGGGCACCTTGCAGTGCACTGAGAAGCAAGAGGGGGGACGCCTGGGTGGCTCAGCAGTTGAGCGCCTGCCTTTGGCTCAGGTCATGATCCTGGGGTCCGCGGATCAAGTCTCACATCGGGTTCCCTGCATGGAGCCTGCTTCTCCCTCTGCCTGTGTCTTTGCCTCTCTCTGTGTCTCTCATGAATAAATAAATAAATCTTAAAAAAAAAGAGAGAGAGAGAAACAAGAGGGGCTCTACAGAGGGAGAGCAGATAAAACAGCAAAGGAGCCCCTGATCTCCCCGAGTGTGGCTTCTTTTTTTTTTTTAAGATTTTATTTATTTATTCATGAGAGACACAGAGAGAGAGAGAGACAGAGACACAGGCAGAGGGAGAAGCAGGCTCTATGCAGGGAGCCTGACGTGGGACTCCATCCTGGGTCTCCAGGATCACACTCCGGGCTGCAGGTGGCACTAAACTGCTGCACCACCAGGGCTGCCCCTGAGTGTGGCTTCTTCTTTTTTTTTTTTTTTAAGATTTTATTTATTTATTCATGAGAATACACAGAGAGGAGAAGAGAGAGAGAGAGAGAGAGAGAGGCAGGCAGAGACACAAGCAGAGGGAGAAGCTGGCTCCATGCAGGGAGCCCGATGTGGAACTCGATCCCGGGTCTCCAGTATCACGCCCTGGGCTGAAGGCGGCGCTAAACTGCTGAGCCACCGGGGCAGCCAGGAGTGTGGCTTCTTAAAACCGTCAGGTCAGGCAAGGGGATCCCTGGGTGGCGCAGTGGTTTGGCGCCTGCCTTTGGCCCAGGGCGCGGTCCTGGAGACCCGGGATCGAAGAGCCTGCTTCTCCCTCTGCCTGTGTCTCTGCCCCTCTCTCTCTCTCTCTCTCTCTCTCTCTCTCTCTCTCTCTGTGTGTGTGTGTGTGTGTGTGACTATCATAAATAAAAAAAATTAAAAAAAAAAACGGTCAGGCAAAACCTGTGATAACAGCCCCACAAATGTAGCATCAGCCCAGAGACAAAGCCCAGCAAGGGTCAGGCCCACTGTCCCAGCCAGCTGCAACATGTGGGCTCCTGCCAGGAAAGGGGGTCCCAGGGACCCACATGGAGCTGTGGTGGTCACTGCGCCCCCAAGGACCCAGAGGGACACCCAGCATGCCCCTCCAGGGTCTGGCACACACAGGGGGTCGGTGGGGGGGCACCAGGAAGGAGGACCCCGTCCTGGGTGACTCCTCCCCTCTGTTGTCTGTTTCCCTGCTGGTGAAGGCAACCACCGAGGTTGGTGCCCAGGCCCACGGGGGTCCCTGCACCTGTAGTCATTGACCCCTGAGGAAGCTGGCCCATCCCCCCTCCCCACACACCCCCACCCCTGGGGCCTGCACCCACCGCCGCATCCCCTCACAGGGCAGTCAGTCCAGGCCTGCTTGGAGAAGAGCCAGCTGCCAGGGGCAGCCGCAGGACTCACTGGGCTGAGCAGGGCTGGCCTTTTCGCACCCTAGGTCCGCAAGGACACAGTCACCCAGAGGAAGGACCTGAGGAGACAGTCCTTCTCCACACTGCGGCTGCAGAACCGGGACCGACTGCTCCGGACCTCCACTCCACTGAACACGGAGCTGCACAAGCAGGACCTCAAGTCCAGGTGAGCCTAAGAGAAGCCCATCCCGCCACCTCCTTCCATGCCCATGTGACGAGACCCTGTCCTGACCCCCATAGAGATTTTCCCCACTGGCTCCCTGGAACCGAGCTGTTTTGAGCCATGTGACTGGAAGTCCAGGACCGTGCTGGCTTCAGGCACAGTTGAATCCAGGCAGAGCGTGCTGGCTTCAGGCACAGTTGAATCCAGGCTCTGCCTTGAGGCCCTTCCAGCTCTGGCTTCCTGGGCATCTGCCCACCCCATTCCCCTGGATCTGGGTCCCTGTACACAACCTCACACCATGGGCAGGGGAGACCCTGCTCCCCTGACTCCCATATTCCCAGTTCAGCAACACCAGCCTCTCCAGGTGCAAAATGAGGCCAGGAGAGCTCTGATGGGCTTAAGTCACCCACCCTAGACCCTTGCCTGAGATCCTAGGAACATGGTCTTCTTGTTAGGTGCCTGACTAGGACTGGGGGGCGGTGGTAGGACAGCCACAGCCTGGGCCCCAGCATGGCCCCCAGGCCACCGCCCCCCTTCCCTCTCTGTCCCCCGTCCCCCCCAGGAGAGTGTGGCAGGGCCTTGGGGCTACTGGCCAGTGTGCAGTGTGAGTGCATACTGCTGCATCATTCCAGTTCCGACGAGTACCAGGCTGCCCAGGCCACCCTGGCCAGATCTTTCCAGGGGAAGTTTGACAAGTTTGTGGTTCCCTGTGTTGTTGCCCGTGGTGACACCAAAGACAGGAAGGGGACAGAACCCCTGAGCTTCAGGTAAAGTGCTCTTCCAGAAAGTCACCATCCCTCCTGTGTTACCCACCCAGATGTGGGGCTCCAGAAGGATGGGCATGGTATGGTGTCCAGAGTGGGCAGACAAAGGTGAGGAGGTGGGGCAGGTGCTTTCAGCACACCTTCCCCACCCCCAGTCCTCACAATACCCTGTACCTGGAGCTGTGGTGTCCAGCAGTAGCACCATCCATTGTGGTGACCTCCAACAAAGGCAAAACTACCACGAACTTTGGTGACATCGCTGTAGGTGAGCCCTGACTGGGCCCAGCTCGGGGACCCAGGCCCCCCATCACTGCCCGGGTCCCTCACCCCACTCTTGGGCCTAGGGCTATAGCCTAACTCCACCATCCCATTTCAGGACACCACGGCATAAGAAAGGTCTCCATCCAGAACATCTCCTCTGAGGATCTTGCTGTATCCTTGTCCATACCCAGCCCAGCCAGTTTATGTGGATGGGACAGGGGAGTTGGTGGGGGGCTGCAGTCCTACCCTGGCCACCTCTCCTTGACACTGGGCCCTCAGGTGGAGTTCTCTGTGCTGAACCCCAATGGCCCCTTTATCCTGCTGAACCCTATCAGCAAGCTGCCTGCAGGCGAGACCCAGGTTCTGACTCTGTCCTTCTCTCCCCGTGAGAGTGTCCTGGTGAGTCCCGAGCCCACTTTACACCATGCTGCAGCCCATGTGTCTGGGCCTTGGGGGTAGCCGATCCCTCTAGACCCCCACCTCCAGGGGACAAGCAGGAGGTGGCTAGGGAGCTCAGAACAGCCTCAGTCCAGCCTGCCCTGCCCCAGCGGTCCCCAGACAGAGGTCCAACTCAAGCCTCTGACAGATGTCTGCTCCACGCTAATTGATGTGGTCTTCACAGGCCCAAGAAACGCTGGACATCATAACCAAGAGAGGCACACTCTCCCTGACCCTCACGGGTACTGGTGTGGCATCCATGATCACATGCTCCATCGAAGGGGATGTTCTGGACATGGGTTACGTGATTGCCAGAGAGTCTGTGTCCTCAAGCTTCAAGGTGAAGCACATGACAGGTGGCCTGGTGCCCACGCTGGTCCCTGGAAGGGGGTTCCACCTGGGAGGGATCAGACCCACCTTGGTAGGGGAGCCAGTGGAGGTGTAGGCCATCCCCACACCAGGTCTTCCACCCCACCCCCAGCCCCCCAGCAGCTGCCACCTCCATTGCCCTGTCCAGCAGAGGGAGGGCTGGGAACATGTGTCCCTCCGCCTCTCACCTGCCCTGACTTAGTGCCCCCTGTCTTCCTGCTCAGGGCCTGGGATGAGGAGCTCAGCTCTTCAGTGTTGTGGGTAGTGGGAGCGTGGGCCCCCTGTAGGAGGGCTGGCCTAGCTCCCCATGCTTCTCCAACATCTGAGGGACTCACCAGCCTTGGGATCAAGCAATCCATAGGACACCGGCTTCGTCCACTGGCTTAGGTCAGGACCTGCACTGAGTCCAGAATAGGGATTTCCTGAGTGCCTCACGGAGGAGGGGGTGCTCTCAGGAGAAGGGGGTGAGGGCAGGGGAGAGACTGGGCAAGGACATTAGCTCAGCTGAAGGCCAGTCTGAGCCTGACAGCAGAGGGAGCCCTGGAGAGCAGAGGGCATCACCAGGCTGTCCCCCCTTCGGGCACTGCAGCTCCAGCAGGTATGCCAGTCCGGGAAGGGGGTAAGTGGACAGCCAGCCAACGCCCTCAGGGGGAGAGTGAACTGAGACCCCCTCCCACCGTAGCAGCCCGCTAAAGGTCACCTGTCCTCACAGCTGCAGAACTGCTCCGCGCTGCCCATCAAGTTCTCCCTGCAGCTGGACAGCCTGTCACCCTCCAGGAGCAAAGGCCAGCAGCAGCTGCCACAGTTCCTCACTTCGCCAGCCCGGAGGACTGAGGTCGTGGGTGAGCTGGTGGGTGGGGATGCAGGGCCACTGCTGGGGAAGGCAGGGATGCAGAGAGGGATGCCGGCTGGGGATGGGAGCTGCAGGCTGGGCTGGGCTGGGGACTTGCCACACCGCCGGCCCCGCAGGCACTCAGAACCACAGCGGCCAGAGCGTGTTCAGCGTCATCCCGGGAGAGGGCATCATGGACCCCGGCAAGGCGCAGGACTTCACCGTGACCTTCAGCCCTGACCACGAGAGCCTGTACTTCTCAGACAGGCTGCAGGTCATGCTCTTTGAAAAGGTGTGGTTCCTCCAGCCCAGTCGTGACCACCTTCCCGAGTGCCCAGGGCCCTTCTGCCCTAACCTGCCTGCCCTACTTTGAAGGCCCTGGCCCGTGGCCAGGGCTCCACACCATGGGTGTTGTCTGGTAGAGAGGCCAGTGTCCCAGGTCCCACGGGCCCACACCCTCTTGGAGCTGGGTCACAAGGTTGCAGGACGAGGCTACTGTGCTCCTCGTCCCCAGAAATTATCCCACCAGATCCTTTTGAAGGGTGCAGCCCGCGAGCACATGATGTTTGTGGAGGGTGGAGACCCCCTGGACGTGCCTGTGGAGTCCCTGACAGTGATCCCCACGTATGACCCTGAGCACAGAGAGGGTGAGCCCTCCATGGGGCGGGCGCCCTGGGGGTGGGAAGGGAGGCTGGGATATACAGTGAGAAGGCCCCTCCACCCAATCTGCACCTGCACCATTAGCCCTAGGAAGCCTCAAGGGCAGGATGGTCATTCCGGGCCTACTCCTCAAAGGGTGGGGTCATGCTGAAGAGATTTCCTGAGGACCAGCTGATTCTAGGCAGCTCCCTCCCTCTCGGCACCCCCACCGCCCCATCAGCCCCCAGCCAGGTCCTCTCTCTTTAGAAGCAGAGGAGCTGAAGCCCATCCTGGTGACCCTGGATTATATCCAGTTAGACACAGACACGCCAGCCCCACCTGCCACCCGAGAGTTGCAAGTGGGCTGCATCCGGACTACCCAGCTGTCCCCAAAAAAGGTGACCAGAGCACTACCCAGGCCTACCCTGTCCCCCTGAAAAACCCCCTGCCTGGCCTTGCCCCTTGATAGATGCAGGGTGGGCAACCTGTTGGTCAAGGCTGAGAGGAGGGTTGGTGGGGTTGGCCATCCTTGAGGAGCAGATGCTCAGCTCCCAGACCTACTGCTTCCTGGGAGCTGTGCCTGGCCTGCCAGCCCCACCAGCAGCTCCAGTGTCCCACAGAGTGTCGAGTTCAGCCTGGACAGCAGCACATCTCTGCAGCACAAGGGCTTCACCATTGAGCCCTCCAGGGGCTCCGTGGAACGTGGCCAGACCAAGACCATCAGCATCTCCTGGATGCCGCCTGCTGATTTTGACGTAGGTGCCACAGACTCTGGTCTGGAAGCCTGCCAAAACCAAAGGCGAGGCAGGATGACACCCCTGCCCCACCCAGGGAGGGAGCTGCTGAGTGGGCAGGAAGACCACAGATGTGTCTGGTGGGCCAAATGGCTAGGGCCTCCTTCTGTCCTCCCCTCCCATTCCAGCCAGATCATCCACTCATGGTGTCGGCCCTACTGCATCTCAAGGGGGATGTGAAGGAGACTTACAAGGTCCTGTTTGTGGCCCAGGTGGTGACTGGTCCCTGAGGCCACAGGAGTCTCTCCACAGAGCCCCCTCGAACTCCCTGCTCACCCCCGAAACCCTCACCAAACCACCCACAGGCCTGGGACCTGGGCATCCCCTGCTGGGCAGACTCAAATGTCCAGCCTCTGCATGGCCCCATGGACAGGGCACCACAGCCCCATGGGCATGGCCACTGCCAGCTGCCCTGGACCCACTGAGTCCCAAAGGCCCAAGAACACCCCCTCCCTGGCCCCAATCAGAACCAGCAAGAAGGCCAGTCCTACCCACATCCTACTCTTACTCTGAGCCCCTCAGAACCCCCAGCCCCACCAATACCCACCTGCCCAGGCTTTAGGAGCCCTGATGGTATGGGGAGAGCTGCTCCCACAGGTCTGCCAATAAACCTTCTAGGCTTCTTCATACAGGCCTGCTGTGTGGGATGCGCACCAAAAGAGAGATGGGGACAGAGCCCTGGGGAGGCAGCATCCTGAGCCTCCTACCTCACTATACACGAATCAATCCATAAACTATGAACTCTGTCCCTCCAGAAGGTGGATGCCTAGATCATTAGGGTAACCGCTAGCAGGGCAGGGTGCTGGGGATACAGGCTGGAATTTAGACAGGCACAGACCCAGGGAGGCCTTGCAAAGATAGAGAAGGGTACAGGAGGCTCTGTAGGCTTTTCTGCCCCTCCCAAGTTTCAGGATCCTTGGTGACCCCAAGCAAGGAGGGAGCAAATGTGGGGGGCTCATGTTCAAGGCCTCCCTCCACGTCTAGCCGGGGTCCAGGGTGAAGGTCCAGAACATGAGTTTGGTTTTCCATTTTTCTGGACAGAGTCCAGGCTCAGCCTTCTGGCTCTAATGCATCCTTCAAGGTAGAAGCCCCACAGGCCATATGAATCTCCTGGGAGCTCAGAATGTGCCCCCGTCCCAGTCCCTGCCATCTGGAGAGTGACGGTTGGATACTGTCCCCACAGAGCCCTCCAATCTGGCCCCCCTGTGCACAGCATGCCCAACACACCAACCCAGTCCCATGCCTGCCTCCAGGAGAACACATGCAGCTTTCCCTAGCAAGAATAGAGGGTGTGATGATGATGCATCTGGGGACTTTCCTAGGCAAAGGCTTCAGGACACCAGCCTGGAGCCACCTGTTCTAACCCCAGTTCCTTGATGCCCTTCATGCCTGGAAGCCTGCCATCTCCCTAACCTGAGGCCAGTGACGACCCTTCCATGCAATTATGCAGGACTCCTGTCTGTGCCCTCCTGGGGCTGACCAGCCATAGCCCAAGCCACTTTCCTACCAGATGAGAAGGCAGGGCTCTAGCAGCCGAGGCCAAATCAGGCTCCTGGAGGAAGTCCCTGACTCCTCTTCTGGCTGGTGGGCAAGAGGGGCAGGCTTCTAAACCCTGGCCTCAATCTCCTACTAAAGGCCCTGGTACTCACTGGCCAAGGCCCTGCCTGAACTCCTGTGCACTGGCTGGACTTCTGTCCATCCTCATCCCTCCCATCCAGTGGAGGCAAAAGACGGGGAGGAAGGAAGCCAGGAGCCAAGCTTAGCCAGCCTGGTTGGAGCAGGGTGGGCAGGAGGAGCGCTGGGGTGTCATCACACAGCCTGGAGGTGCAGAACAGCTTCGGGCAAAGCGTGGTCCAAGATCAAGGGCAATCAAAGAGCAGGTGCCTGGCAGATCCAGGCAGGGGCACCAAGCCTAGGAGGGGCTTCAATCAAGGTAGAGTATGTGCTGAATGCAATTAAGAAAGACAGAGGCGCCTGGGTGGCTCAGGTGGTTAAACTGTTGACTCTAATATGGGCTCTGGTCAAGATCTCAGGGTCATGGGATTGAGCTTCGACTCCAGCTCCAAGCTCAAAGGGGAGTCTACCTCTCTCCCCTCCTTCTGCCCCACTCCCTGCTCGTGCTCACTCTCTCTCTAAAATAGATGAAAGAGGGGCGCCTGGGTGGCTCGGTGGTTGAGCGTCTGCCTTCGGCTCAGGGCATGATCCTGGAGTCCCAGGATCGAGTCCCACTTTGGGCTCCCTGCATAGGGCTGCTTCTCCCTCTGCCTGTGTCTCTATGTCTCTCATGAATAAATAAATCAAATTAAAAAAAATAGATGAAGAGAGAGAGGGAAAGAAAGAAAAAGGGAGGAAGGGAGTAAGAGAAAGAAAGGTAAAAGGTAGCTGCTCCTCCCGCTCTCCCCAGACAAGGTCCCCCAGACAAGGCCAACCACCCTCCACCTTGGGCTTCTGACCCCCTCCCTTGACCTGACCACCAGGTGGTGGGGTAAAGGCCTGAGAGAACTTAGCAGGGCCACTAGTCCCATAAAAGGGCAGTGAGGTGGAAGAAATGGCAGAAGGGTCAGTAGCATTCTGTGCCCCCAGGCCCGGTGACCACAGAGGGTACACGCCCCAGATTGGGCATGACTTTCAAGGCCAAGTGCTCCGGAAACATGGTCGGCTCCCAGGACGCCGCAGGAGCGGGGGTCAGGCGCACACTCCCGACAGGCCTGCTTCCGCCGGCCCCAGGCAGCGCTTAAGCAAAATAAACGTTGAACACGCTGGGCCGGCCCCAGAACCCGGACTGCTGCATCACTTAACACCGCACGGTGTGCACGGTGTGCGAGCTCCGCCACGCTTGTCCTGGCCGCCACCCTCCGAGGCGACAGCAGGGCTCACCTGGCCCGCACGGAGCCTGACTGCACTACAGGCCTGGCCCGCCCGGGACCGGAGCTCTGCGCCGGGGCGGAGGGCGAGACCCCGCTGCGCCCAGCAGGCCGAGGCTGGCGGGCTCCCAGGGCTCCGGCGCGGAGGGCGGGGCCTCCGGGAAGCGGCTCGGCGGGCACGGGACGGGGCCTCCGGGAAGCGGCGCGGAGGATACCGGGCGGGGCTCTGGGGCGAGGCATGCAGGGCGGGGCCTCTGGGAAGCGGCGGGACGGGCCCGGGGCTGGGCTCGGGGCTGGGCTCGGGGCGGGGCTCGGGGCGGGGCTCGGGGGGCGGGGCTCCGCGGCTCGGGGGCGGGGCCTGCGGGGCGGGGCCTCCATAAAGCGGCGAGGCCCGCAGGCTAGTGCTCTCCGCAGGCCCCGAGCATGGTGCTGGGGGTTCTGGCCCCGGGTGCGCTCCTCCTGCTCCCGCCGCTCCTGCCGCTGCCGCAGGTGGGTCGCTGGCGCTCGGCTCGGGCACTGCGGGGCGGGTCTGCGCTTGGCGCGCCCTGGCTCGGGCTCACCCCTGTCCCCACAGGTGGCGCTGGGCTTCTCGGACGGCAGCTGCGACCCCTCGGACCTGTAAGTCAGGGGGGTGGGAGCCGGGGCCTGGCCCGACCTGTGGGGGAGGCTTGGGCGGGGCGGTCGGCTGGCTGGTGCCCCACCTGCTCCAGATGCCGCCGTCCCCGCAGGTGCCCGCCCCAGGCCCGCTGGAGCAGCCTGTGGCACGTGGGGTAAGTGGAGACCACGATGCGGCCCCGGCCAGGCCCGGCAGACCCCTAACCTTCCTAGCTCCGAGGCTGAGGAGTCGCCAGCACTGTCCCCTCCAGACAGCCCCCCAGGCTGACCCCTGCTTTCTGCCCTCAGCACCAGGATGGCCTGTCTTGTGGGCCCTATCCCAGTCCAGGACTTCTCTGGGCACCCGGGGCCCTTGGCACCACTTCCCACCCCCTCCTTCCTCACCCCTGCAGGGGGCCCCTGTGAACACGGTCATTGGTCTGGGCACAGGATTGTGCAGATGGCCTGGGACAGTGTGTCCTGGGAGTGAGCCCAAGGCACTTGTGGCCAGCCCTGCAGAGAGCCAGGACAGGCTGGCTCCTCAGGCCCCGCTCTGGCCTGGAAGGAGGTCTCTGGCCTGGAGAGACATTCTCTGGTTTACTTTTATCCTGCCTGTTGTCCTGTCTTGGGTGGCTGGGCCATGACTGCCCCTGGGGAGCAGGTGGCCAATGGCAAGGGGTCAATCCAGTGGTAGGGTCTTGCTCCTCCCTGCACAGGCTTATCTTACTTGCTGTCCTCCTGCTGCTGCTGTGCGGGGTCACAGCCAGCTGTGTCCGGTTCTGCTGCCTCCGGAAACGGGCACACACCCAGCCACACCTGCCACCAACACCTCAGCCTTGCGACCTGACAGTCAGCCCTATGGATAGTGACAGCCCCGTGCACAGCACTGTGACTTGTGAGTGCCTGCAGACCTCACCTGTTGGCTTGCCCGCCTGCAGGGGGAGTGGGGGCGGGTGAGAGCAGACTCATCCCCACCAACCCACTCTGGTTCCCTGCAGCTTACAGCTCTGTGCAGTACCCGCTGGGCATGCGGCTGCCCCTCCCCTTTGGGGAGCTGGACCTCGACTCCATGACCCCTCCTGCCTACAGCCTGTATGCCCCTGAGCTGCCACCCTCTTATGAAGAGGCTGTCAAGACGGCCAAACCCAGACAGGAAGAGCCATCCCCCTCTTAGTAACCCAGTCCTCTCCGTGGGGCCTGAGGCCTAGAGACATCGGCAGGGCTCCAGGAGCCAGGCTCCAATGCCCAACACCCCTGGCTGTAGCCCTGATGCCCCTCAAAGGCAGAGGAAAACTCTCTCGAACCTCTCCATTCTGCCAGCCACCCTGTGCTCAGAGGTGACCCGTGCAAGGGCACTTGCAGCCGAGGACCCCCCCACCCCAGCGCACACCTCCCATCCTTCCCCAGGGAAGGCCAGCCCGTCCAGCACATTGCTGCAGCCCTGGCCTCGTTGCTATGTAACGCCAGGCAGCCCAACCAGCTGCCCCTGTGTTGGCCATACACATGCACTCTCACACACTAGGGCAATGCCCACACAGGCTGCTGCATTCAGCCCTGACCTCACAGGCCTAAGCCTCAAGATTCAGGGCTGGCTGTAACACCCCCAGCTTTTTGGAGAGAGAATAAAGTTTGTACCTAAATGATCTCCATCTGTAGGAAAAGGCTCTGGGAGGGGCCTGTGGGTAGACATACCCCAATGCAGGCAGACAGGGCAAGTGGTAGTCTTCGACCTGCCCCCAATCTGGCTTTCCAGCTGGTGTCCAGAACCCAGAGCTGGGCAGTGGGTGGTGTCAGATGTCATAGCAGGAGTGACAGGCCATGTGCTGTGGTTGCCCAGGAAAACCCTCTCCTTTTTCCAGACCCAAATCTTTACCAGTCCCTCCTTTCTGGGCTAGGGACAGTGAAACACACATTAGTCTGGCTGGAGCGTTTATTGGCCAGAGTAGGGCAGGGTGGGGGGTGGCAAGGTAGGTGGCAGTGGGGGCAGTGCTGTGGGCAGCAGCAGGCAGTGGCCTTCTTCGTGCAGGCCTTCCATGGCCACAGCACCTGCTCCTATTGGACCAGCTTGAAGGACTCTCCGGTCATCATGGCCACAAACTCTGAGAGCAGAAGGACAGGTCAGCCACCAGCCTGGCCCACACACCCAGCTCCCAGGCCCATCCCTCACTCACCCTCATAGTCAATGGTCCCATCCCCATCCTTGTCAGCCTCCTTCATCATCTGCTCGGCCTCTACCTCATTGAGGGGCTCCCCTGCATTCATGAGTACATACCTGCAGGGCCCCCACATTCAGTGGTGGCCTGGAGGGTTCCAGCCCATGCCCACCCCTGCCCAGCTCCGGGCCCTACTTGAGCGTGTCCCAGTCGATGTAGCCCTTGCCTTCCTTGTCGAACACACGGAACGCTGCCCTCAGCTCGCCCTCCTGGTTCTGGGCTTTCTCCCAGTAAATCCCCATCAGGGCCAGGAAGCTGTCACAGTTGAAGAATCCTTTGTCTGCAGGGAGCAAGCAGCAGGCCGGGCCTCATGAGGGTGAGCAGATGCGGCCCTCCCTGCTCACGCTCACAGTTGATCACCCATCCAGGGCTGCCCCAGCCTCACTGTCTCTGTCCACGTCCTTGGCCATGGAGGCCAGCTCACTCTTGGTGGGGTTGATGCCCAGCAGGCTCATGAGCCGCTCCAGCTCACCAGTCTTCACCTCCCCGTTGCCTTCCTCGTCGAACATCTCAAAGACCCCCTTGTACTCCTTGATCTGCTCGGCTGTCAGGCGCTCCGTCTGCAGGGACACCAGCCCAGCATCACTGGGGCCCCCTCTGCCCCTCAGTCCGAGGGAGGTTAGAGGCCCCAGCACACGTGGCACCCTGCCCTGTCCATCCACTTGGCAACCCTTTGGGGCCTATGGTTCAAAAAGGGGGCCCCTAGCCCAGAGCAGCTTCCAGACAAGGTGGTATAGGGATGGGTCTGGAGGGGTGAGCAGAACTCTGCCAGGCAGCCTGAGGGGAAGGGCACACGAGGCAGAGGCCAGGTGTGAGGCCCCGGGGCTCAGGCCAGCCATGTGAGGGAGTCTCGGGGGGCTATCAGGTGAGACCAGGTGAAGGACACTGTGAAGGAGCATGCCCAAGATCGGGGTGAAGGGCCCCAGCCTGTTCGGGCATCTCTGGCATCTAGCCCCTGCCGGCCACCACCATGGCAGCTCTCAGAAGAGTCTCGTCCATCCCAGCCACCAGAGTGAGGGGGTGTCAGCATCCAGCAGAGCTCAGCCTTGGCCTCCCTGCTTTGCCTTCTGAACTGCTCCCTTGATTCCCAGACAGGCACCCGCACCCTCTGGCCCAGCCCATGCCTGTGCTCGGAGGCCCTGTCCCATCCTCTCGCCGCCCGGGCCCTGCTCCACTCCTGCCCCACCAGCCCACCAGGGACTCTGCCGGATGCTGGGAGCAGCCTCACCATGTCCGTGGCCGGTGGGGAGAACACTGCACGCTGGCACTGGAGCTGCTGTGCACAGAACACGAGGGGTGGAGGTGTCAGCTGCATTTTAGCTGGGCCCAGCTGCCTGGGGTCCCCAGAGTCCAGATTCCAAGATCCTTGTATGGCCAGGAGATCCTGCAGCCCTATTTTGGACCAGGCTTGGCCGTTCCCCACATAGCCCCTTTCTGGCCCTCCTTGGCCTAAGCATCCCCTCACCCTGAAGCTGCCCCTGGGATCCTAGGTCGCAGCCTCAGCCCTCTGGAGCCAAAGCATGGAGAGACACCATGACTGAGGACCAGGAGCAGGAAAGGGACTGAGGGGTGGCTGGGGAGGCCTGGAGCACTTGCCCATGTGTTCGCCCTTTGCTGTTCCCTCTTCACCGTGTCATCCTCCTCGAATTTTCTTCCCTATGGGGGCTGTCCTCCCACCATTCTGCCCTAGGACGCTCACACAGCCAGTCATCACTTACTTAGGAGGGTTCTTTCTGAATGCCCACCCTGGCCTGGTGACAACCTCCCATCCCTGTAGGCCGAGTGCTTTGCAGGCTGTCTCTACAGACGGGTCAAGAGGACAAATACACCCCCCTGGCCACCCTGTGCTAGAAGGGGCTGGAGGTCTGCAGTCCAGGGAGGGGACAGCTGGATGTGGTGTGGTGGTGAGAGAGGGCAAGACTGGATACCAGGAAACCAGACCAGATTTCCTCTGAGCAGCCAGGAGCTATTCTGGGACTTCTCAGAGAAACCTGACCTCCCTTCCACTCAGAACAGCAAAGCTGGCTCCCGAGGGAGCCTCATGGCCACGCCGTTCAGTGACCAGATGCCTGAGTAGCACACACACTCAGCACTTGGACACACATACCCACCCTCACCTCCACCAAGGGCCTTCCTCCTACCCCGGCACCAAGCACAAGATCCACCGGCCTGGCCGCGGGGCTCAGAGGCTTGCGGTTACAGGTTGGAGCCTCATGGGTCGAGGGGACTCCTCCCATCTCAGCCTCCAGCACCCCGCAGGGCTGGCCACAGATGGGTGCCCCTAATTCCCCTCACATCAGTGCATGGCCCCCAGAGACACACAGACACACCTGCCGCCGCCCACAATTGCCTGACGAACCTGAGCAGGCGAGATGTGCCATGGCCCAACCGGCTCAGCCCTGGGCCCTGCCAAAATATCTGAAGCCTCTGGGACGCTCCCACTGAGGCCCAGGCCAGCTGCTGAGGCCGCAGGATTTGTGCTGACGGATGGGATGGCTCCAGCAGACACAAGTCCTGAGGGCCCGGGCGACCGGGTTGAAGGAGAAGCCGGCTCCAGGTCCGGAGGGTGGTCCCCTACCTTAGCCCTGGCTGCTCTGTCTGGTCCTGATTTCAGGCTTGTGCTGATGAGAAAAGACTTTCGCACTCCCTTCCCTTGAAACTCTCAAACTAGGACAGGAGTCAGAAACATTTCAATGACACTAGTCACATCTATAAGCCCAAACCACAACATGTGAGGAAGGAAGCGGGTGGGGAACTACAGCAGGGGCCTGCTGGGAGAGGCAGGGGGGATAGTGTTACATGTCCAGCTGGGCAGCGGGGCCCAGACTCCCGCGCAGACGCTTGTCTAGATGTCGTTGGGAAGGGGATTTTTTTTCATATATGTATTGATTACAATGGTGACATTAACATAAAATATTACTCAGAGGGGGAGCTGACATTTACTGAACACCTGTTACGTACCACGATTTTTTTTTTACATTTGTGGTAAAACACACACACACATATAAAATTTACCATCAACTTTCTCCTTGGATCCGACTCCTGCGTATAAGCAGACTTATACAGGATTTGTCATTTGGGACTGGGTTATGTCACTGAACATGATGTCCTCAAAGTCCATCCCTGTTGCAGCGCATGTCAGCACTTCCTCCTATTTTGTTTTGTTTTTTAGAAAGAGGGGAGGGGAAGAGGGAGAGAGAAAATCCCAGGCAGGCTCCATGCCCGGTGCAGAGCCTGACATAGGGCTCCATCTCACAACCCTGAGATCACAACATGAGCCAGAATTAAGAGTCAGATGCTAAGCTGACCCAACCACCCAGGCACCCCCGCATTTCTTCCCTTTTTAAGGTGGAATAATATGCCACTGGGCAAAAAGACCACATTTTGTTTATCCATTCTCTTGTCCATGGAAATTTAGGTTGCTTTCACTTCTTTGCTATTGTGATTAATGCTGCAATGAATGTAGATGTGCTTGAAGGTTTTTTAGATGTGATTAACATTTAAATCAGTAGACTCTGAGTAAAGCAGATGACCTTCATAATGAAGGTGGGCCTCATCCAATCAGTTGAAGACCTTAAGAGAGAAAAAGTGAGCTTCCCAGAGGAGGGGAGAATTCTTCTCCAGAGGGCCTCGGGTTTGAGCTGCAACAACAGGTCCTCCCTGGGTCTCCAGCTGTCTGAATTCACCAGCCCCACAATCGCCACAAAGGAAGCCAATTCCTTAAAATCAACGTCTCTCTCTCCCTCCCTCTCCTATTGGGCTGTTTTTCTGGAGAATCCTGACTGATACAGGAGGCCAATAAAGGCAACATGTTCCAAGAACCTGGATATCTGTGTCTGGGCCCCCGGGACCACTCACAACTGCAGGGCACGTGGTGTTTTCTCTGGGCAGATCTGGTAGATGGCACAGGCACCCGAAAACAGCTGCTGAACTCATAGACTGATGGCCCAGGCCAGGGTATAGTGAGAGGCCCCATGTGTATTCAAGCAATCCCATCCCCTCCCTACAAGCAAGTGCCTCCCCAGTGACCCCTTCCTGGAAGAGAGAAGAAACCCATAGACACAGTGAGAAGACACAAGGCCCCCATCCTTGTGGGGCAGCGTTGGATGCAGACCCAGCTCATGTGGCCACCGTGGCCCCAGGTACGGTGGACCTCTGAAGGGGTACTTGCCCTGAGTCCCCATAGCTGGCCTGAGGCTTCAGGCAGCACAGCTGGGCTTCCCTCTGCCCAATCCTACCCCCCTCCCTATCTCTGGGATTAACCCCTTGCACACAGCTTTTACCCATACTGCATCTTGAGGTCGGCTTCCATGGGATCCAGTGCACAACTAGGAGAATTGGAGACGGCTTCCTTGCTGCCTGGCTGGGAGTCACTGGAGGCAGGCACACATGCCTAGTGGTTTACCTGCTGCAACTGTCACTGTGCTGGATTGGGCAGGAGGGGAACAAGAGGCCAAGCAGCTGCTGCCCAGCGCCCAAACTGTTGTTAGGACCCTGCTGGGGAAAGCAGGACCTTGTCATGTGTGTGGGGACACCAGGTGGCTGTCCCCCTCAGCTCTAAGGCCCAGACTCCTTCAAACCTGCACCCGCAAGGTTTGCTCACCTCTCCCTGACCTCAGCTGAAATAGAATTCCCAGGCCTCATCACCAACCTCCCACCTAGGCAACATTTGTCCCCGTCAGGACACCCACCTCCCCTCCCAGCCACTAGGCCAGCACCCAGGGATATGTTGCAGCATAACCCAGCTGGGGATGAGCTGGGTCTGGCAGCTCAAGGACAGACAAGGGTGAAGGGATGGATGGGCCATGCTGGCAGGAGCTGGGGGAGCAGGCTGCTCCGAGGGGCTGGAGCACAGCCCAGGCAGGCATGAGACTACACATACCAGTGCTCCTCACAGCCCCTTCCTCCTGCAGCTCCTGCCTGAGGTGTCCTAAACCAGCACAGGGCCAGCCATTGGGACCCACACTCTGCTCAGTGCCTGCAGCTAGCCTCCTTACCCACCAGCAACCCCGCTGCATCTGCCACACGGTCTCCCCAGGGTGGCAGTATCCCATCCATTGCCCATGGTGTCACCCCCTCAGCTCCAGAAATGCCCCAAGAAAACTCCATGTCCTAGTCTGAGTCTTTGTTGTGGGGTCTGCTTGGGGGAGCCCAGCCCTGGGCCAACCACTGTGGCAGATGGGAAGAGAGGCAAGTGTGACATCTGTCACTGCTCAGGAATGGCCAGAACCAGGTACTGAGATTCAAGTGTTATGTGCAAAGTTGAGGTGACCACTGAGATAATAGAAATAGACTGTATAGCTTCCGTATTTGTGGAAGGGAAAAAGAATAAAGAAAATATAATGAACCTAACAGAATAAAGAAAAGAAGACAGATTTTCTCCAGTTATGCTGGAGAAAAAGCAGCATAACTAGAAAACCGAAAGTAATGTCAGAAAAGAAAACCCAGGGCAGCCAGGGTGGCTCAGTGGTTTAGCGCTGCCTTCAGCCCAGGGCCTTATCCTGGAGACCAGGGATCGAGTCCCACGTTGGGCTCCCTGCAAGGAGCCTACTTCTCCCTCTGCCTGTGTCTCTGCCTCTCTCTCGCTGTCTCTCATGAACAAATAAATAAAATCTTTAAAAAATTAATAACCCGAGTAAAAAATAAATATCCATTGTGCATCAAAGCACACCATTGAGAGAGAGAAAAGGCACCCCACCGACTGGAAGAAAACGTTCACAAATCTTTTATCTGATAAGGGATTTGTATCCAGAATATGTAAAGAATTCCTACAGCTCAACAACAAAAACCACCCAATTCAGAAGTGGGCAAATGTCTTGAATAGACATTTTGCCAAAAAAGACACACACGGCCAAGGAGCTCATGAAAACATCACATGCTCAACATCACTAATCGTTAGGCAAATGCAAGTCAAAACCACAATGATCTATTGTTTCACACCCTTTAGGATGGCTATGATCAAAAAACACAGAAAACAAGTGTTAGGGAAGATGTGGAGAAATTGGGATACCACGCACAGCTGGTGGGAATGTGGAACAGTACACCTGTTGCAGAAGACAGCGTGGTGATTCCTCAAAAACGTGGGCACACGGGATCCCTGGGTGGCACAGCGGTTTGGCGCCTGCCTTTGGCCCAGGGCGTGATCCTGGAGACCCGGGATCGAATCCCACATCAGGCTTCCGGTGCATGGAGCCTGCTTCTCCCTCTGCCTGTGTCTCTGCCTCTCTCTCTCTCTCTCTATGACTATCATAAATAAATAAAAATTTTAAAAAAAAAGATTAAAAAAAAAAAACGTGGGCACAGAATGACCATAGGATCCAGCATTTCTGATTTGAAGTATGTAGTTTAAATAATTGAAAAGAGAAACCCCAACAGGTATTTGTGTTCATAGCAGTCTTTTTTTTTTTTTTTTTTTTTTTTTAAATTTTTATTTATTTTATGATAGTGACACAGAGAGAGAGAGAGAGAGAGGCAGAGACACAGGCAGAGGGAGAAGCAGGCTCCATGCACCGGGAGCCCAACGTGGGATTCGATCTGAGGTCTCCAGAATCGCGCCCTGGGCCAAAGGCAGGCGCCAAACCGCTGCGCCACCCAGGGATCCCTGTTCATAGCAGTCTTATTCACAATATATAAAAGGTAGAAACAACCCAAGCATACACCAATGGATAGATGGATAAACAGAGTATAGTGTATACATTAGTGATAGTTAATATGTGTCAGCTTGACCAGGTGCCAACAGCCAGTAAAATGTTACTTCTGGAAGCATCTGTGAGATATCTCTGCAGGAGATAAGCACTCAATTCAATAAACTGAGTAAAGAATATCGTCCTCCCCACAGCAGGTGGGCATTGTCAGATCTGTTCAGGGCCCAGATAAAACAAAAATGCATAGGAAGAGTGAGTTTGCTCTCTTCCTGAGTGGACTGTCCATCTTCTTCCACCTTCAGAAATTAGTGCTCTTGAGCAGCCCCGATGGCCCAGTGGTTTGGCGCTGCCTTCGGCCCAGGGTATGATCCTGGAGATCCGGGATCGAGTCCCATGTAAGGCTCCCTGCATGGAGCCTGCTTCTCCCTCTGCCTGTGTCTCGGCCTCTCTCTCTGTGTGTGTCTGTCATGAATAAATAAATAAAATATTAAAAAACAAAACAAAAAAATTAAAAAAAAAGAAATTAGCTCTCTTGCTTCTCTGGCTTCAGACTCAGACTGAATCACATGCCCAATTTTCCTGGGTATGTAGCCTGCAGAGGGCAAACTGTGGGATACCTCAGCCTCTACAACTATATGAATCAATTCCTATACTCGATCCCCTCATCTCTGTATATTTTACATATATGTATACATATATACATATATATATATAATGTTCTGTTTCTATAGAGAACCCTAATAAAACATACAATGGAATTATTATTCAGGCTTAAAAAGGAGGAAGTCCTGACACCTGCTACAGCATGGATGAAACTGGAGGACATAGGGATGCCTGGGTGGCTCAGTGTCTCAGTGCCATGAGAGGCAGAGACAGACAGAGGGAGAAGCAGACCCACAAAGCATCTGCCTTTGGCTCAGGGCATGATCCCAGGGTCCTGGGATGGAGTCCTGCATCAGGATCCCCAAGGGGAGCCTGCTTCTCCTTCTGCCTATGTCTCTGCCTCTCATGAATAAATAAATAAATAAATAAATAAATAAATAAATAAATAAATAAATAATCTTTAAAAATAAAATAAGGACAAATATTAAGAAAACATACAGGGGCATCTGGGTGATACAGTCGGGTAAATGTCTGACTCTTGTTTTCGGCTCAGGTCTTGATCTCAGGGTCATAGGATTGAGCCCCCAGTCAGGCCCCGAGCTCAGCAGAGAATCTGCTTAGGATTCGCTCTTCCTCTCCGTCATTCAAATAAATAAATAAGTCTTAAAAAAAAAAAAGAAAGGAAAACATACAAATGGTCAAGATACAAGGAAAGATGCTCAACACCATTAGTTATCAGAGAAATGCAGATCAAAACATCAGTGAGCTATCACCTCACACTTGTCAGGATAGCTAGAATCCAAAACACAAGAAATTACAAGCGTGGGCGAGAATGTGGACAAAGGGGCCCCTGTGCGTTGTTGGTGGGAATGCAAACTGATGCAGCCACTCTGGAAAACAGTGTGGAAGGTCCTCAAGAAATCAAAAATAGAAATACCATAGGATCCAGTAACTCCACTACTGTGTATTTTTTGAAAGGAAAGAAAATACTAATTTGAAAAGCTATAGGTACTCCTACATTTATTGCAGCATTACTTACAATAACCAAGATATGGAGGCAACCCAACCAAGCATACATCCATCAATGAACAGATAAAGGAGAGGTGGCATATATACTACTCAGCCATAAAAAAGCATGAAATCTTGCCATTTGCAACAACATGGGTGGATCTAGACAGTATCATGCTAAGTGAAATAAACCAGAGAAAGACAAATACCATGTGATTTTACTTGTATGTGGAATTTAACAAACAAAACGAATAAACAAAAAACTCTTAAATACAGGGAAGAAACTGGTGGTTGTCAGAGGGGGAGGCTGGAAGGTAAAATAGCTAAAGGGGATTAGGTACACTTACAGTGATGAGCACTGAGGACTGTGCACAGGTGTTGAATCATTACATTACACCCCTGAAACCAATGTAACACTGTTTATTATATTTCAATTTTAAAAAAAGGACAAATATTGTATGATGATTCCACATATATGAGGTCCCCAGAGTCATCGAATTTAGAGACAGGGAGTAGCGTGGTAGGCGCCAGAGGCTGGGGAAGTTAGTGTTTAACAGGGA